CAGAGGACAGGAGATATTATCAGGACACACCCATTGTGTAGTTCTATGGCCCAGAGGACAGGAGATATTATCAGGACACACCCATTGTGTAGTTCTATGGCCCAGAGGACAGGAGACTGAAGGTTCAGTAACAACACAGTCACAGTCAAGAGAACAGGAAAAAACAAGAGTACAGAAAGTAGAATCAATTAGAGAGTTCTCTTCCAATTGGCCCTCCTGTGCATTAGGGAGCCCATAGGCCAAGAACAGTGTGCGTGTGTATGCATTTGTTTATATGTGTGTGTGTGTGTGTGTGTGTGTGTGTGTGTGTTTTCAGAACTGTCAGCATGGAAACAGACCATGGTTTGTTTACCCCTAACAACAGACAAGCTGAACATGGTGTAATGTATCAGTTCTTCCAGATCAAGTACCAGATTCATTTTTCAAGTACAACACTAGAGAATGCAGTGGAATGCAAACTAGCAAACTATTAAATGTCCCTTTACGGCTACATACATGGATGTTCCTTTATGCAAGCACCTAATGTATGTGAGTTAATTGTTGTGCTGTGTCCCTTTGTTTGTGTCCAAATGCATGCATGTGCATGTGGGTGGTTGAGCGTGTACTTGTCTATGCACTTGTTTGTGCATTATTGTGTGCTTTTTCAATCATCATCTTGAATCAACTGTAAGCGCAGATGTGCTGTGACCTGACTAAGATCAGATCAAGTGCCCCCCCCCCCCCCCCCCCCATCCCCCCCATCCCCCCCCACCCAGTTCCATTTGTCATGGCCAGCTGTCAGGCTGCTGCTGTGATTGGTTGTTGTGGGAGACAGATAGCCGATAGGCTCTGATTAATAGTAGTGGCTCTGGAACTTACTCATTGATCAAGAGAACAGGCGAGGGGGAGGGAGAGGACAGGAGAGGAGGGGAGGGAGGGAGGGAATGAGAGAGGGAGAGAGAGAGAGAAAAAGCATTCCCTGTCGCTCTGTCACTGCTTGCTGATACCGTGATTGCGTTTGTGTGTGTGTGTGTGCGCCTGTGTGTGTGTGTATAATAAATACATAACGTAACATTGGTGATAAAAGAGCTTGGAAAAAACCTGCCGGCACTGTGGATATGGGGAATGTTGGTCAGAAGGCCTAAAAGCAGTGTTATCATATTTGATGCAGGCCTATACTAGTATAGATGTATAGAATGTGATATAGTAATGTTATTATGTGTGAGTATCTCAGAAGGTTGGTCTCACTCTCTCTCTCTCTCTCTCTCTCTCTCACTCTCTCTCTCTCTCTCTCTCGCCAGTTCAATTCAATTCAGTTCAAAGGGATTTATTGGCATGGGAAACATATGTTCACATTGCCAAAGCAAATGGAATAGACAATAAACAAAAGGGAAATAGAAAAGGGAAGCATTAGTAAAAATCACACTCACTAAAGTTTTTAAATAATATATTTCAAATGTTTTATTATTGGCTATGTACAGTGTTGTAACAATGTGCAAGTAGTTGAAGTATGAAAGGGTAAATAAATAAACAGATAAATATAGGTTGTATTTATAATGTTGTTTGTCCTCCACTGGTTGCCCTTTTCTCATGGCAATGGGCCACAAATCTTGCTGCTGTGACTGCACACTGCGGTATTTCGCCTAACAGATATGGGAGTTTATCAATATTTGATTTGTTTTCAAATTCTTTGTGGGTCTGTTTGATCTGTGGGAAATATGTGTATCTAATGTGATCATCTCCCTCTCTCTCTCTCTTGCTCTCTCTCTCCATATGGTCCAGTGTTGGAGAATATGTGTGCCTTTCATTCGAATAAGAATATATGCATGTGATGGAGAAAAGCATACTGACCCACTTGGCTAGCTGCCAAATAGTCCTTGTGCGTACTCACTCCAGTCCCAAAACGTTAAGTAGTAAAGGGGGTACTGTGGGAAATGGACTGCTGTGTAACAGCTGAAGAAGGTCCATGTGTGTGCTTGAATGGGACTATGTGTGCATGTCAGTACAGTACATCTGAGAGTGTATGTGTTATTATGTGAGTGTGTGTGCCTCAGGAAACTAGAAAATAAACTGTAGTGAATAAACAAATACAGGAGTTGTGTGCATGGGTGCGTGTGTGTGTGTGTGTGTGATTGAGCTCTCTCCGTAGGGTGGTCAGTAGTGGGAGGTCGTGACCTGGTCGAATTCGGGGGAGTGGAGATCATCAATCAGCGAGGGGCAAGTCTGAGCAGCAGGACCACCACCACCCCCTCCACCCCACAGGGAAACAGATGGCCTTGGGACAACTGGCTCATACTCTCTCTCGTAGCACACACACACACACACACACACACACACACACACACACACACACACACACAGAGTATATGCACCAACTCAATGATGCGCACAAAAAATGACACATACATACAGTTGAAGTCGGAAGTTTACATACACCTTAGCCAAATACATTTAAACTCCGTTTTTCACAATTCCTGACATTTCATCTTATAAAAAATTCCCTGTCTTAGGTCAGTTAGGATCACCACTTTATTTAAAGAATGTGAAATGTCAGAATAATAGTAGAGAGAATGATTTATTTTCAGCTTTTATTTCTTTCATCACATTCCCAGTGGGTCAGAAGTTGACATACACTCAATTAGTATTTGGTAGCATTGCCTTTAAATTGTTTAACTTGGGTCAAACGTTTGGGGTAGCCTTCCACAAGCTTCCCACAATAAGTTGGGTGAATTTTGGCCCTTTCCTCCTGACAGAGCTGGTGTAACTGAGTCAGGTTTGTAGGCCTCGCACACGCTTTTTCAGTTCTGCCCACACATTTTCTATATGATTGAGGTCAGGGCTTTGTGATGGCCACTCCAATACCTTGACTTTGTTGTCCTTAAGCCATTTTGCCACAACTATGGAAGTATGCTTGGGGTCATTGTCCATTTGGAAGATCCATTTGCGACCAAGCTTTAACTTCCTGACTGATGTCTTGAAATGTTGCTTCAATATATCCACATAATTTTCCTTCCTCATGATGCCATCTATTTTGTGAAGTGCACCAGTCCCTCCTGCAGCAAAGCACCCCCACAGCATGATGCTGCCACCCCTGTGCTTCACGGTTGGGATGGTGTTCTTCGGCTTGCAAGCATCCCCCTTTTTCCTCCAAACATAACGATGGTCATTATGGCCAAACAGTTCTATTTTTGTTTCATCAGACCAGAGGACATTTCTCCAAAAAGTACGATCTTTGTCCCCATGTGCAGTTGCAAACCGTAGTCTGGCTTTTTAATGGCGGTTTTGGAGCAGTGGCTTCTTCCTTGCTGAGCGGCCTTTCAGGTTATGTTGATATAGGACTCGTTTTACTGTGGATATAGATACTTTTGTACCTGTTTCCTCCAGCATCTTCACAAGGTCCTTTCTTGTTGTTCTGGGATTGATTTGCACTTTTTGCACCAAGGTACGTTCATCTCTAGGAGACAGAGCGCGTGGTACCTTCAGACGTTTGGAAATGGATGAACCAGACTTGTGGAGGTCTACAAATTTTTTTCTGATGTCTTGGCTGATTTATTTTGATTTTCCCATGATGTCAAGCAAAGAGGCACTGAGTTTGAAGGTAGGCCTTGAAATACATCCACATGTACACCTCCAATTGACTCAAATGATGTCAATTAGCCTATCAGAAGCTTCTAAAGCCATGACATCATTTTCTGGAATTTTCCAAGCTGTTTAAAGGCACAGTCAACTTAGTGTACGTAAACTTCTGACCCACTGGAATTGTGATACAGTGAATTATAAGTGAAATAATCTGTCTGTGAACAATTGTTGGAAAAATTACTTGTGTCATGCACAAAGTAGATGTCCTAACCGACTTGCCAAAACTATAGTTTGTTAACAAGAATTTTGTGGAGTGGTTGAAAAATGAGTTTTAATGACTCCAACCTAAGTATATGTAAACTTCTGACTTTAACTGTATGTGGTCCTCCCACAATGACTCTGGAAACCATGCAGTTTATTAGGCTACAGATAAAATAAGTTATGATGAACTTCACAGGGTGGTGAAAGTGCACGGTGATGAGCTTGATGCTCCTTTCCAATAAATATTGAGGGTCTTATTCTGGTGACATGATGATCAATGCTTGACTGCCATTTGACAAATAAAAACATACTCGCTCTTATCCATAATAATCTCATCATGTAGACTACCACAGTCTCTGCGAGCTGTTGGATATTGCGCACATGCCAAGACCAAAGTAGGCACATTTGCCAACCTAAGTGTATGTAAACTTCCGACTTCAACTGTACATACATACATACACACACTCTTTTAGATGCACACATGACAGGATCCACACACTCACAGTGCAAAGACAATTAATCATACACAAATACACACATGGTGCTAAATACCTCGACATATACAGGCACATATATTGTTTATGTTAATGAATTCATGAGGACCACACAAACATGCATGCAAACAAACTCAAACACACAATAGTGTTTTATAAGCTGGAAATGTGCCATTGACTGGGTATATGTATATAGACTTGGCAGGAAGCTTAGTGGTTAAGAGCGTAGTGCCAGTAACCGAAAGGTCGCTGGTTCTAATCCCCGAGCCGAGTAGGTGAAAATCTGTCGATGTGCCCTTGAGCAAGGCACTTAAACCTAATTGCTCCTGTAAGTCGCTCTGGATAAGAGCGTCTGCTAAATGAATAATACCAAAAATTATTACAAAATAAAATAAAATATAAAAAGTATAACAAATGTATATAGCATTAGCGCCCCCTGCTGAGAGTAAAACTGTTAAAAAATGGATATTTTACTCTAAAACTATCTTTGAATATAAGTTGCATCATCATCACCACAGTTTTTGCTCTGTACTGAAAGTGCTCCATCTTGACATGCACATTTTTCTGGGATTGTAGTAACAGTGGACTAATGAACAAAATACTAAAAATAGTTTTGGGTAAAATATCCCTTAAAATGAATTTGAGTCAAAGACTAAATCCCACAATCCACAGAAAACAGACACCTGATTATCAGCAAACTTTTATTGATGATCATTTTCAAGCTCGCAGGATTAAACAAAATTAACTCCTCCTAAAAAGATCCACACAAGCTACAAAGCAATCCAGCATACATTCAGATAATGCATTGACTGAGATAACTTCACTGAATCCAGATAAAGGAAAATGCATGTGTGCACAGGCTGTAAACCATAGAACACTAGATCATGTTAAAGTCGTCTTATGCTGAGACTCTCTAGTTAGCTATACTAGTACGTAGTTAGGAAACCTAAATACTGTGTACAGCATTATAAGTGTTTCCCTAAATTACTAAAACTGTCTATTAAATCTGAAACTTATATACTGGATTAAATTCAAGCACGCTATAAAAACGTAAGAAAAACCCTAGAAAAACTTTAGAAAAACCCTAGAAAAACATTAGAAAAACCCTAGAAAAACCACCAGAAGAACACCACCTTAGAGGACCTGACCCAATGGTCATGTGATCATCATGGGAATAAACATGAAGAGATGGGCTCAGTCCACAGCACCATGTGATTCACTGCCCAACAAGCTGTAGGGGCCATAGCTGTGGTTATAGTAATGGTGCAGTGTTATATGAGCAGAGAGCTACAGGAAGAGGAGGAGGGGTCACGGCAGTACAACCAGGTCAGCTCAGTTTGGTTGGCTGTGTGATGGTCAGGAAGGTCAGATGATCAGGTGACCAGTCGTTGGGTCCATCATCCCATAAGCTTCCAGGCAGCTTCCTTCAGCCACTTGGCAACTTTCCTCTCAATGGCCTGACAACCAGAGAGAGAAAAGACAGTTGAGACACACTGTACAGTTCTGAAGCATACATTACTCTTCATGTGCCACCAAAGCTCACAGTCAGTGTCTATCTCAGGAACATCAACTTAGTGTTGTCTAGCCTGCCGTGGGCTGTACCTTGCGGGCCTGCTTCAGGGCGGGGTGGTCTGTGGCGCTGTCGGGGTTCATGTCGGCACAGTGGGCGGAGCCCTCGATGAGGATGGCCATGTCTTTGTCCTCCTTGTCCAAGTCCTCTTCCAGGACGCTGAGCTCGTGCCAGGGGTCAATGTCACCTGACAGAGGTCACAGGTCACAGGTCACAGTCAGTATATGACCTGTCCCTCTGGTCTGTCACACAGAGGAGGCTGGTGGGAGGAGCTATAGGAGGATGGGTTCATTGTAATGGCTGGAATGGAATAAATGATGTGTTTGATACCGTTCCATTGATTCCATTCCAGCCATTACATTGAGCCCGTCCTCCTATAGCTCCTCCCACTAACCTCCACTGCTGTCATACAATCACTCACATAGACACAGCACATTGATTCACTGCCAGTGGGTTTAAATTACACTATGATGTAATGAGAGGTAATGGTTTAAACCTCCATATATCTATCTATCTATCGGGTGGTTGGGCAAGTAACCGAAAGGTCGCTGGTTCGAATCCCAGAGCCGGCAAGGTGGAAAAATCTGCCGTTCTGCCCTTGAACAACAACTGCTCCCCGGGCGCCGATGACGTTGATGAAGGCAGCCCCCCTACCCCCCCCCCCCCTGCACCGCTCTGATTCAGAGGGGTTGGGTTAAATGCGGAAGACACATTTCAGCTGAATGCATTCAGTTGTGCAACTGACTAGGTATCCCCTATCTACTGTATCTATCTGTGAAGTCTATGCTCACCGTTGACATAGAGCACCCTGTCAGTGTCGGGGTGGCCACCTCCATAGTACTTATTGGTGAAGGCGATGTGTCCGGGCAGACTGTGCTGGGGGATGTTGAACACCTCAGGACACAGGTCAGTCTGAGCCTGCAGGGTCAGCATGCGGGAGAAAGGACAGCTGGCGTCCTCACACGTCTGGTCTGTTACAACAAAACAATGACAATGTAACCCAAAGAAACACAATTAATTTCTATTGAATTATGATCTGTAGTTCTATTTCTGTAATGTAAGATACAGCTGAGTGGCTATGGGCATATAGTACTACTGATCATATAATGAGTGATACTGCACCAAAGAGTGGGACCTTTGTACAGCTAGTGTTAATGCATTGGGCTTATGAATGTGATGTTAGGGGGAAATGAACTCTGGAGTCTGGACCTGTTTTTTTTACCCTTCAGTACAGTGAGCACTCAACTCCCTGACTGAAGAAACTACCTTGGTTGTACTCGGGGACTTGAGCTTGGTAAATGTACAGTGGGGTTCGAAATTATTGATACCCTTGATAAAGATGAGCAATAATGACTGTATAAAATAAATTATTGAAATACTGAGCTATATTGTATGCTCAAAACAATGGGGAAATTATATTTTTTATTTTATACTAATAGTATTTGGTGCCATATTCCTACACTTCTACAGTCATGTGGATGCTTCCATGATTACGGATAATCCTGAATGAATCCTGAATAATGATGATTGAGAAAGTTACAGCAGTCAAAGATCATACCCCCAAGACATGCTAACCTCTCCTGTAATTGGGAATGGTGAGTTGTTAGCATGTCTTGGGGGTATGATCTTTGACCCTCTGTAACTTTCTCACTCATCATTATTCACGATACATTCAGAATTATCCGTAATCATGGTAGCATCTACATTACTGTAGAAGTGTTTAGAAACATTCTTATTATCTATGGTTATTTATAATAATATAAGTGACTCCAAAATGACACAATATATTATTTACCATTACTTTCTATTGGGCACAAAATAATCTGAAACACAACCAAAACTAACTGCAAATACATCCAACAAGTTTTTAGAGTCACAAGCTTGATGTAGTCATTGCATGCTAGGAATATGCGACCAAATACTAAACTGTTGACTACTTTATTTATAAGAATCTTTAGGGGTGTGAATAATTTAGACCCCTACCTTTTAGAGAAAAACATATATTACTTGTTAAACAATATCTCTTTCTCTGAGCAATTGTTTTAGTATGAAATAATATAATTTATTTTATACAGTCATTATTGCTCATCTTTATCAAGGATGTGAATAATTTCGGACGTCACTGTATCTCCTCTAGGAGTGACAGTGTTGTGCGGTGTGGTGGAGCGGTACTCACAGAAGCCGAACTCGGTGCAGGTCTGGTAGTACCACTGTCTCTCTCCATTATAGGCAGAGTCCAGATTGGTGTCACTCAGGTCCTTGATGGTCTGCTTGTGGGACGCATCCAGACAGGGCTCCTCGCCTGTGGCACGGTCTGTCTAATAAACGCACGCACACACACATAAATATGCACGCACGCAAACACAGTAACAGTGTTCTGATTGTTCTGCATCAGTCAAGGCAAGGGGATGCACAACTGTAGCTCAATACAGCCCTCTGCTGGTTAATCAAATAATTGTCATTTTGGGGCTGTGCGTGTGTGTGTGCGTGCTTGTGTGCGTGCTTGTGTATGTCTGCGTGCTTTTGTGCATACATTTGTGTGTGTGTGTGTGAAAGCGTGTGTGTGCATATGTACAATACACCTCATACAGTCAGATCCATAAATATTTGGACATTGACCAAGTTATTATTATTTTAGCTGTTTACCACAGCATATTGGAGTTGAAATTAAATAATGAATATGAGCTGAAAGTGCAGACTTTCAGCTTTAATTTGAGGGTATTTACATCCAAATCGGGTGAACGGTGTAGGAATTACAGTACTTTTTATATGTGGTCCCCCCCTTTTTAAGGGACCAAAAGTAATCGGACAATTGGCTGCTCAGCTGTTCCATGGCCAGGTGTGTGTTATTCCCTCATTAGTTCATTTACAAGTAAGCAGATAAAAGGTCTAGAGTTGATTTCAAGTGTGGCATTTGCATTTGGAATCTGTTGCTGTTAACCCTCAATATGAAGTCCAAAGAGCTGTCACTGCTAGTGAAGCAAGCCATCATTAGGCTGAAAAATCTAAACAAACCCATCAGAGAGATAGCAAAAACATTAGGTGTGGCCAAATCAACTATTTGGTACATTCTTAAAAAGAAAGAACGCACTGGTGAGCTCAGCAACACCAAAAGGCCCGGAAGACCACGGAAAACAACTGGTGGATGACAGAATAATTATTTCCCTGGTGAAGAAAAACCCCTTCACAACAGTTGGCCAGATCAAGAACACCCTCCAGGAGGTAGGCGTATCTGTGTCAAAGTCAACAATCAAGAGAAGACTTCAGCAGAGTAAATACAGAGGGTTTACCACAAGATGTAAACCATTGGTAAGCCTCAAAAACAGGAATACCAGATTAGAGTTTGCCAAAAAACATATTTAAAAGCCTGTACAGTTCTGGAACAACATGACAGATGAGACAAAGATCAACTTGTACCAGAATGATGGGAAGAAAAGAGTATGGAGAAGGGAAGGAAACTGCTCATGATCCGAAGCATACCACCTCATCTGTGAAGCATGGTGGAGGTAGTGTTATGGCGTGGGCATGTATGGCTGCCAATGGAACTGGTTCCCTTGTATTTATTGATGATGTGACTGCTGACAAAAGCAGCAGGATGAATTCTGAAGTGTTTAGGACTATATTATCTGCTCAGATTCAGCCAAATGCTTAAAAACTCATTGGATGGCGCTTCACAGTGCAGATGGACAAAGACCCGAAGCATACTGCGAAAGCAACCCAATACTTTTTTAAGGCAAAGAAGTGGAATGTTCTGCAATGGCCAAGTCAATCACCTGACCTGAATCCAATTGAGCATGCATTCACTTGCTGAAGGCAAAACTGAAGGCAAAACGTCCCAAGAACAAGCAGGAACTGAAGACAGCTGCAGTAAAGGCAGAGCATCACCAGGGAAGAAACACAACATCTGGTGATGTCTATGGGTTCCAGACTTCAGGCAGTCATTGACTGCAAAGGATTTGCAACCAAGTATTAAAACTCACAATTTAATGTATGATTATGTTAGTTTATCCAATTACTTTTGAGCCCCTAAAATTGGGGAGCTATGTATAAAAATGGTTGTAATTCCTACACGGTTCATACAATAATTTTGACAAAACCCTTAAATTAAAGATTAAAGTCTACACTTAAAGCACATCTTGATTGTTTCCTTTCAAATCCATTGTGGTGGCGTACAGAGCCAAAATGATGCAAATTGTGTCACTGTCCAAATACTTATGGACCTGACTGTACCTGCACCAGTTTGATCAGCCGGTCGTAGGCCTCAGTCTCCGAATCGAAGGTCTCTGTCTCATTGGTCATGATGTCACAGAGCTCCTCAATAGTTAGAATGCCCCCCTCCTCGTTGTACGCCACGGTTCCTATGACGATGTCGGCCAGGCTCTGCATCAGCTCGATCTGGTCCTCCAGATCCTCAGGGGTCTCACAGCACCCAAAGTCCTTCCCCACCTCAGTGGCGTTCCCAGCAAACAGGGCGGCCTCCACGGCAGCAAAGGCCTCCCAGATGTCCCCCACACACTGGAGGAGAGAGAGAGAGTGAGAGAGAGAGAGCGGAGAAAGAGAGAGAGTGACAAGGAGACAGAGAGAGTCAAATCACACAGTAGGAGACTCACAGTCAGATACTCCAACACATGATTTCAAGCGCCCACATCTACTGTAAATGTTCTCAAACCTTATCTGAACCTCCAACATCCTTGTCCGCAAGGCTCAGACCCACCACCTGGAAGAGAGAAAAAGCAGGGTTTGTTTCCACCGTTGTCTGTACAGCTGAACATCACATCTACCATGCTATTAACACTATAAATAGTGCAACAGTTACTACTACTACTACTACTACTACTACTTATACTACTACACTATACTACTACTATACTACTACTACTACTACTACTAAACTACTACGACTACTACTACTACTACAGACAGACGACGACTACGACGACGAAGCGACACGACAGACGACGACGACGACGACAGACGACACACGACGACGACAGACCTACGACGACGAACGACGACAAGACGACGACGACGACGACTACGACGACGACGACGACGACGACGACGACGACGACACGACGACGAGACGAAGTACGACGAAGACACGACGACGACGACTACGACGACGACGACGAAAGACTAAGACGGACTACGCTACGACGACGACGACGACGACGACTACGACGACGAACGACGAGACGACGAATACGACGACGAACGACTACGACGACGACGACGACGGACACGAGACGACGACGACGACGACGACGACGACGACGACGACGAGACGACTACGACACGACGAATACGGACGAGAACGACGAGACTACGACGACGACGACGACGACGACTAGACGAACGACGACAGACGACGACGACGACTACGACGAGACTACGACTACTACGACGACTACGAACTACTACAACACGACGACGACGACGACGACGACGACGAGACGACTACGACGACACTATGACTTACGACGACACTACGACGACTACTACTACTACTATACTACCTTACTACTAATATAATATTACTACTTACCTACTACTACAACTACTCTAATCTACCTAACTACTACTACTACTACCTACTTACTACTTACTACTACCTACTACTAACTACTAACTACTACCGAGTTACTAATGATGAGGATCTTTACTTTTCTGTGTTGAAGTTGGAGAAGTCCAGGTTCTGGCTTTGACAGGAGCGGAGGAGGCCACAGCACCGTAGACCAGGTGGGGGAACTGGAAGAGCAGGAACAGATAACATTATTTTGTATTATTACCATGGAATACAGTAAACCAGCATACAGTAACACTGCTGTTCGGTCCTAAGTATAAAAATAGACAGTGTTATTTTATTTCTACTGTACCTTTCCCCTGAGCCAGGCAGACAAGGCCCCAGCATAGGAACCTCCGAAGCTGATCCAGGTATTCTTGTTGGAGAGGTCAAAGCGATCGCTGATGTATTGATGGAATTCTGCGATGTCGGTGAGACTGGAAACCAAGAGATGGCAGAGAAAATGAAATGCAATCTCTGCCCAATTCAAGCCCACTCAAAAGCACTCTGCATACTTCAAGTAGCAACCCACTGGGCACAGACGTCAGTTCAATGTCTAGTTTTGATATACATTTGGTTGAGTTGTCAACTAATGTGAATTCAACATGAAATCAACAAAAAATGTCACCATGCCATTGGATTTAGGTTCAAAGTTGGGTGAAAAAAATACAAAATTCCCTCACATTGATGACTTTTTGCAAATCCAATCAGTTTTCCATGTTGATTCAACGTCATCACATTGACTCCCTCCTCCTCCCACCAGTACTCACGCCTGCTGGCTGGACAGGTCTCCCAGGTTCTCAGTCTCCAGGCCATCTTCGTTGATGCTCTTGCCATAGAAACGATGCTCCAGGGCCACAAGCAGGGCCCCGTGCTCCTCAGCCATGTCCACATGGTGGCCTACAGATACACACAAAGCAGGAGCAAAGAGGAGAAATAGGACGAGGTTAAGAGTTGGTTGAGGTATCAACAAGACAAAAACCGAAGAACAGGCATGGACTTGTAACTAAATACAAGTATCATATTCATAACACCTATGTAAGCCTAACTTATCGTGTCAATGCATTTCCATTTTCTTTTCATATTACTTAAGAGCGTGACGGGGGAGCTTTGTGTTTACCTGCCAGCACACTGAACTCAGAGATGGGGCCCTCCCCTCCGATGTACAGGAACACTGGGCCATGAGGACGCTCCCAATAGGCTTCATTCACGAAAAACCTCTGAGAGAGAAAGAGAGGGTGAGAGAAAGGGAGTAGAAGCGAGAGAACAAGAGTGGGGGGCTGCAGGTCCAAAAGTATTTGGACAGAGACCAATTATTTTTTTTGTCTCTGTACTCCAGCACTTTGTATTTGAAATGATGCAATGACTAAGAGGTTAAAGTGCAGACTGTCAATGGTGTTATGCCTTTGAATGTATTTTCATTCATATTGGGTGAACCGTTTAGAAATTACAGCACTTTTTGTACATAGTTCCCCCATTTTAGGGAACCAAAAGTATTTGGACAAATTCACTTTTATGTGTATTAAAGTAGTCAAAAGTTTAGTATTTCCCTGGATATAGCCTCGTTGCTGTTATTTTATTGTTGCTCTTTAATTATTTGTTATTTTTCTATTTTTTATCTTTATCTTTTTTTTTTTACTTCAGTTTATTTTAGTAAATACTTTCTTAACACTTATTTTTCTTAAAACTGCATTGTTGGTTAAGGGCTTGTAAGTAAGCATTTCACTGTAAGGTCTACACCTGTTGTATTCGGCGCATGTGACAAATAACATTTTATTTGGTCCCATATTCCTGGCACACAATGACTACATCAAGCTTGTGACTCTACAAACTTGTTGGATGCATTTGCAATTTGTTTTGTTGTTATTCACAATTCATTCAGGATTATCCATAATCATGGTAGCATCCACAAGAATGTAGAAGTGTTCAGAAATATATTATATTCTTATTTACAATAAAAGTGACTCCAAAATGACACAATATATTATCTACCATTCATTTCTATTTGGCACAAAATTATCTGAAACACAACCAAAACAAACTGCAAATGCATTCAACAAGTTTGTAGTCACAAGCTGTAGTCATTGCCTACTAGGAATATGACACCAAATACTAAACTTTTGAAAACTCTAATACACATATAAGTGAATTTGTCCTAATACTTTTAGTTCCCTAAAATGGGGGGACTATGTACACAAAGTGCTGTCACCTTATATGGATGAAAATACCCTCAAATTAAAGCTGACAGTCTGCACTTCGACCTCATAGTCATTGTATCATTTCAAATCCAAAGTGCTGGAGTACAGAGCCAAAACAACAACAAAAATTGTCACTGTCCCAATACTTTTGGACCTCACTGTAGGTGCATGTATTGGTGGTGGGTCACCTGAGGAAAGGTTTCATCGTTTTGACTGTCGAAGTGGTCCAGGGGTTGGTGAATTTTCCCGTCTCTCACTTCGCCCATGGACTTATGCCCGTTGACTGCGCGCATCAGCACATTCTTCTTCGCTTTTTCATACTGAATTTTACGCACACGCTCCTTGATCTTCCTCAGAACTCGTCCTATGAAATATAAAATGTGATATGACATATCAAAAGACGAGAGGGACAGAGGACGGTCAAAGCTAGAGATAATACGAGAAGATCAATCGTTTGTAGTTGCGCGTAAAGACGCATATGGAGCTAAATTACGCCCGTAGTTGTTGGTCAAACAACGAGAGCCTCCTGAGACTTGAAAATCAGAATGCGCACATATTCCACTGCATAACAATCTCTACAATTATCTTTCACATTTCGTACTACAAAAATTGCTATCCAAACGTGACACAGACCTTTTTTAGATTGGATACAATTTTGTATTCATTCCGATGGCCTCAGCACATGGCTTTTGCTGATAAGGTATAACCCTCTGCCACCCCCTTATCGATCTAATTCATACTCGACAGCCAAGCCCATGTTTGTTATGTTTTTCATGGGTTTTATTATAATTCAATACATACTTAAAGTAATAATAAACCATGTATTAGTAACAGAATAAACTTTTCTAGATATAGAAGCTGCTCAACTTCTATGCAGCCCTTTTCACATTTTGCATAATTATCTAATTATAGCCTATACATTAGCCAATTTCGTTTCTCTGAACACCACAATAATTAAAACTATAGGCATATGCATTAAAATGATATATGATCAAAGTGTATATTATATTAGCCCACACAGATACAAGGATGCACTTAGAAGCTTAGAGACCCCAACTAATGTATAAAACAATCTTAAAATTATAAAATGTTGTTTCAATACAAGCATCATAAAACCTCTAACACAATAAATTCATTGGACTTGGTGAAAAACTTCTTTTTGGAACCCAACTTGCTTACCACTTTTTCCATGTGGTTTCTCCCTTCAGACTCGATGAAATGACCTCTGCCTAAATATTTGTTCAAATTATAAATTGTGTATGGTTTCCTAGACACAAGGGTGCCTCAACCTACCCCACTCTGCCCTACCTCATGTATTTTATCAGTTAAGTATTATTTTTAAATGATCAGGTCATTATGGATTGTTAACGTACCAGAATAGACGGAGTTGACAAGGAGAAGAAGGATGATACAACGGATGGGAGACAGAAGCATCTTCAGGCGTCCAACTACGACCTCTGACCTACTGATATAGGTCTACACTATGGTCAGACCACCTTGCCTTCTCAATGCGAGGAGAATGTTTGCTTTTAAGGCGTGACCAAAGTTTTTAGTCCGCCCAGGGGCACCCGATGCCCACTGTGCGTATTTATAGTCAACAAGTCACCAATTGAGCGTAATCAAGATGCAGCAAGTGAGTCTGGGCAATAGGTATATCTCCTCCAACGGTGGCAGTGGTCCAAACTGGAACGCGACGCTATGAGCATTGGCTTGGTGAAAGATGCTTACATTTCATATTTAAGTATTGAATTGTATGCTCAAAGCCTAAAACCCAGCACAAACACTTAACATGTTGAAACAGGGCACTTTGGCTCAGTTCATCTTTTATTCAATATTTTTATGATGCAATCATTTATATACATTTACAAAAGTGTGAGGCTGATTGGTAGAGCACCCAACCTGAATCCTGCATGCAGAGCAAGCAAGCGAGGCCACTAACTCATCTTTACAGTTTACAGACAGCTCTGCTTTGAGTGATTCAGACAGACAAAAAGGCACCAACACACAAACATATGCATCTGCTGGAGTCAGGAGGCCAATTTTATATTAGTTAAATCGATAGTTGGGAATTTTGGCAATGACGCCCTTTATCTACCTACCCAGAGTCAGATGAACTCGTGGATACCATTTTCATGTCTCTGTGTCCAGTATGAAGGAATTGACGAGGTAGTTTCGCAAGCCAACGCTAACTAGCTTAGAGTAAAGACTGGAAGTCTTCGGGTACAGCTAGCATGCTTGAGCGCAAAGACTGGAAGTGTTCAGGTACAGACTTCCAGTCTTTGCGCTAAGCTAGCACTAACGTTAATTGAAGCTAGCGCTAATGCCCCAAACTACATCTAACTTCGGTCATACTGAACGCAGAGACATAAAAATTGTATCCACTAGTTAATCTGACTCTGAGTAAGTAGATAAAGGAATCCCTTTAATTTAACTTTTTACACCGCCCCTCCATCGATTCCCCCTCTTCCCATCAGCTAAGAAAATCTTCATTCCAGCCTCTTTCTGCCCCTCAGCTTCAGAGCTCGGAGAAAGTTATGGTTTTAGGACTCTTCTTCTCCATGGAGGCCGCAGCTGACTTCATGACATCCTCCGTCTGCAGCATGCTCATGTTCCACGTTGCCTGAAGACAGAAGGATAGACAGACTGAACTCTCAGCCTCAGTGTGTAATTCATTCAAACATTTTTTTTTACATTTCAGATTTTGGACTTCCAATGATATCTACTTTCTAAAATCTGCCTCCTGGTAGGATACAGAGTTACCCACCCACCTTATCAGAACACTACACTTGTTTAAGAGACCCATGGTTATCTATCCTGGGTTCGGTTTTTGATAGACTATGTTGTTGCCACGCTGATGTGTGTGGTGTTGTGAGCATCCTTGTAGTATTGAGCCTCACCATGTAGTTCAGGCCCTCTGCCACACTGTGGTCTCTGGAGTAGATCAGGTTGACCTTGGTTCCCTGGACAGCCACAGGGCTGCGGCCTGCTATCTCCCCTGCCATTTCCAGAGCTCCAGCCATCATCACCTCCTTGTCCGGAAATACACGGCTACACAGGGAAAGAGTGTATGAATACACAAAACCAACCTGCATATACAACAAATACACGCACACACACATTTTATCCATACCTGACTAATCCACTTTCCTTGGCCTCATCGGCGTACATCTTCCTCGCTGTCAGAGCCAACTCATTCACCAAGCTGGAGAGGAAGGAAGATTATACATACACTGCTCAAAAAAATAAAGGGAACACTTAAACAACACAATGTAACTCCAAGTCAATCACACTTCTGTGAAATCAAACTGTCCACTTAGGAAGCAACACTGATTGACAATACATTTCACATGCTGTTGTGCAAATGGAATAGACAACAGGTGGAAATTATAGGCAATTAGCAAGACACCCCCAATAAAGGTTTTGCAGGTGGTGACCACAGACCACTTCTCAGTTCCTATGCTTCCTGGCTGATGTTTTGGTCACTTTTGAATGCTGGCAGTGCTTTCACTCTAGTGGTAGCATGAGACGGAGTCTACAACCCACACAAGTGGCTCAGGTAGTGCAGCTCATCCAGGATGGCACATCAATGCGAGCTGTGGCAAGAAGGTTTGCTGTGTCTGTCAGCGTAGTGTCCAGAGCATGGAGGCGCTACCAGGAGACAGGCCAGTACATCAGGAGACGTGGAGGAGGCCGTAGGAGGGCAACAACCCAGCAGCAGGACTGCTACCTCCGCCTTTGTGCAAGGAGGAGCACTGCCAGAGCCCTGCAAAATGACCTCCAGCAGGCCACAAATGTGCATGTGTCTGCTCAAACGGTCAGAAACAGACTCCATGAGGGTGGTATGAGGGCCCGACGTCCACAGGTGGGGGTTGTGCTTACAGCCCAACACCGTGCAGGACGTTTGGCATTTGCCAGAGAACACCAAGATTGGCAAATTCGCCACTGGCGCCCTGTGCTCTTCACAGATGAAAGCAGGTTCACACTGAGCACGTGACAGACGTGACAGAGTCTGGAGACGCCGTGGAGAACGTTCTGCTGCCTGCAACATCCTCCAGCATGACCGGTTTGGCGGTGGGTCAGTCATGGTGTGGGGTGGCATTTCTTTGGGGGACCGCACAGCCCTCCATGTGCTCGCCAGAGGTAGCCTGACTGCCATTAGGTACCGAGATGAGATCCTCAGACCCCTTGTGAGACCATATGCTGGTGCGGTTGGCCCTGGGTTCCTCCTAATGCAAGACAATGCTAGACATCATGTGGCTGGAGTGTGTCAGCAGTTCCTGCAAGAGGAAGGCATTGGTGCTATGGACTGGCCCGCCCGTTCCCCAGACCTGAATCCAATTGAGCACATCTGGGACATCATGTCTCGCTCCATCCACCAACGCCACGTTGCACCACAGACTGTCCAGGAGTTGGCAGATGCTTTAGTCCAGGTCTGGGAGGAGATCCCTCAGGAGACCATCCGCCACCTCATCAGGAGCATGCCCAGGCGTTGTAGGGAGGTCATACAGGCACGTGGAGGCCACACACACTACTGAGCCTCATTTTGACTTGTTTTAAGGACATTACATCAAAGTTGGATCAGCCTGTAGTGTGGTTTTCCCCTTTAATTTTGAGGGTGACTCCAAATCCAGACCTCCATGGGTTGATACATTTGATTTCCATTGATAATTTTTGTGTGATTTTGTTGTCAGCACATTCAACTATGTAAAGAAAAAAGTATTTAATAAGATTATTTCATTCATTCAGATCTAGGATGTGTTGTTTAAGTGTTCCCTTTATTTTTTTTAGCAGTGTATAAGGGATCTATTCAGAACAATACTTGGCAGCACTCAGTGTTCCTGGGTGTACAGTTGAAGTCAGAAGTTGACATACACCATAGCCAAATACATTTAAACTCAGTTTCACAATTCCTGACATTTAGTCCTAGTAAAAATGACCTGTCTTAGGTCAGTTAGGATCACCACTTTATTTTAAGAATGTGAAATGTCAGAATAATAGTAGAGAGAATGATTTATTTAAGCTTTTCTCAGTGGGTCAGAAGTTTACATACACTCGATTAGTATTTTTGTAGCATTGCCTTTAAACTGTTTAACTTGGGTCAAACGTTTCGGGCAGCCTTCCACAAGCTTCCCACAATAAGTTGGGTGAATTTTGGCCCATTCCTCCTGACAGAGCTGGTGTAACTGAGTCAGGTGTGTAGGCCTCCTTGCTCGCACACGCCTTTTCAGTTCTGCCCACAAATGTTCTATAGGATTGAGGTCAGGGCTTTGTGATAGCCACTCCAATACCTTGATATTGTTGTCCTTAAGCCATTTTGCCACAACTTTGGAAGTATGCTTGTGGTCATTGTCCATTTGGAAGACCCATTTGCGACCAAGCTTTAACTTCCTGACTGATGTTGCTTCAATATATCCACATAATTTTCCTTCCTCATGATGCCATCTATTTTGTGAAGTGCACCAGTCCCTCCTGCAGCAAAGCACCCCCACAGCATGATGCTGCCACCCCCGTGCTTCACTGTTGGGATGGTGTTCTTCAGCTTGCAAGCTACCCCCTTTTTCCTCCAAACATAACGATGGTCATTATGGCCAAACAGTTCTATTTGTGTTTCATCAGGCCAGAGTACATTTCTCCAAAAAGTACGATCTTTGTCCCCATGTGCAGTTGCAAACCATAGGCTTTTTTATGGCGGTTTTGGAGCAGTGGCTTCTTCCTTGCTGAGTGGCCTTTCAGGTTATGTCGATATAGGACTCGTTTTACTGTGGATATAGATACTTTTGTACCTGTTTCCTCCAGCATCTTCACAAGGTCCTTTGCTGTTGTTCTGGGATTGATTTGCAATTTTCGCACCAAAGTACGTTAATCTCTAGGAGACTTCCTGATCGGTATGACGGCTGCGTGGTCCCATGGTGTTTATACTTGCGTACTATTGTTTGTACAGATGAACGAGGTACCTTCAGGCGTTTGGAAATTGCTCCCAAGGATGAACCAGACTTTTTTGACCCACTGGAATTGTGATACACTGGAATTATAAGTGAAATAATTTGTAAACAATTATTGGAAAAATTACTTGTGTCATGCAAAGTAGATGTCCTAACCGACTTGCCAAAACTATAGTTTGTTAACAAGAAATTTGTGGAGTGGTTGAAAAACAAGTTTTAATTACTCCAACCTAAGTGTATGCAAACTTCCGACTTCAACTGTATGTATGCAAGCTGAGGGACTCCCACGCAGCATTGTTGTAATGAATGCATATATTTTTTACATTTTACTCATTTAGCAGATGCTCTTATCCAGAGCGACTTACAGTTAGTGAGCGCATACATTTTTCATACTGGCCCCCCGTGGGAAACGAACCCACAACCCTGGCGTTGCAAGCGCCATGCTCTACCAACCATATAAAATGCTTGCTCTAACCTGCGGCTCCCAATGACTTTAGGTAGGCGCTGCAGAGTTCCAACGTCAGCTGCTAGGCCAATATCAACTTCCTGTAAGAGAGGCAGACCTTTCACATCACTCAGAGATACGAAGCAGAATGCACAAGTACACTTTTCTCATCATTCTGCCTTTACTTTACTATGAGAGTCCCCCTGGTGGTTGCTACAGAAAACACATGTATGAAAACCGCTACCAGTTAAGGCCATTATAGACTATGATTTTAGCCCTTTTATGCAACGATTTTGCCATCCCAGACAAAATGTCCACGTCGTGGGCAAATTCTTAGGTCGTAAACGACTGTTAGATGTCTTGGCTCGTTCAGTGTGACAGGATCTAAGTCTGCCGATTAAGTACCACTACGTGTGGTCGTAGGCTCCGACAAAGTTCTGTCAGCGTCAGATTTCTTTTTCCTTTATCGTGTAGTGTGGTTGATGCAGTTGATGTAGCCTATGTCGGCTGATGTAGCCTCGCAAGCCAATCGCAGAATGTGATGACAGAACTGAAGCAAATCGTACAATCTGGACACGTTGATATAAAGATTTTAATTTGGTAACATTGCGTGCGACGTGATAATCGTAAAAGGCTAAAAGGCTGAATCCGACGTACAGTCTGAAAAGGCCTTTGGATGTCCCCTGGACCTTGGTCCTCATGGAGTTGGTCATTGGGGGTAAGGTGATGCATTTAGGCCCACTTACCTTCACCTGAAACCAGGCATCCTGAGTGCAGAGACGGATATCACAGGCTGTGATCAGATCCACTCCTGACAGAACACATACATGTTATAACATGACAAGCCATTACAGTTTTATTGCAGAACACCTACACGGGTGAAGAAAGTCACATTTTGGAAAGAAGGAATAATATATTTAAGCTTTTGCAAGACTTTGCAAATCAATAATATACCACCAAAACTCACCTCCTCCAACACAAGCTCCATGCACTGCCACAACCACAGGCTTTGGACACTACAAGAAGAAAGGGGGTGGTGGGAAAGAGAGAATGCATTTGCCTACTTGTTCACTATCAATACCTAACATATTGTGCAGGAGTAAGTATTTCACAAGTTCATATACAGACCCTTTCAATGACGGTGAAGGTTTCCTGGTACTTGGTGATGATGCGTCGCATGTTCCAGGAAGTCCTGGCCATGTCGTCCCCCTCAGGCTGTAAGACTTCACTGGCCATGTCCATCAAGTCAATGCCTACACACAGTCATAATCCAACAGTTAATTTTTTTACTGGTTATACTGTTATGTTTGGTATATTGTGGTACATCCTATTGATAAGTAGAACCCAGTTCAACCTGAGACAATTGTAAGCTAAAGGGAAACATTCTCTTACCAGCTGTGAAGACCTTTCCAGCACCTGAGACGACAACCACGCGGCACTCCGGGTCCCCAGCTATCTGTGTAAAGCACTCCACCATTTCTCTGAGAGAAAAGGGGGGATGTACGGTGGAAGAGAAGAAAATATTAAGAAATATAGGATGCACATCAATTCATAAAGGAACACAGTGCTGTAGTGCTGGATTACACAAATGTGCAACTAGAAAGGCAGGAAACGTTTCAGCTGTGTTTAAGTAGTGGTGTTTGGGCCAGGTGTTACCTCCAGAAGGCTTTGTTCATGGCATTGCGTTTCTCTGGCCGGTGCAGCTCTACGTGAGTGACAGCTGTGGCAGGTTGACTGACAGACAGGGTGGTAAAAGGAGGCGTGGGGCCCCCAGGAGAAGACAAGGCCCTTACAGCACTGAGACCAGGTAGCCACAGACTCCTGTCTGATGATCAGCACCCAAATGAGAGACAGAGGGAGGGAAGGGAGGGGTTGATAGAAAAAAATGTAATACAACACAAAGAAACATTAATATGATTTTCCAGTAAATGATAATGATAATTCCAGTAAAATACGTCATTTGCACGGTTTTGACCTACTAAACCACCTTGCGATCCACTCCTATACGGAATAGTGTTACATAGTATTCACCTCTCACCTAGTTAGCCAAGACGCTAACCAAACAGTTTACATTAGCTGGAGCTTAGTATTAGCTAGCTACCTAGCAAAGTGTTGATATTTAAGTAAAAATCTATAGCCAGGTTAGCTAACTACAGTAGCTAGCTAGCGAATCTGGTCTGGGTCTCCAATAATTATATGGTGCCAATGACTTTTCCTAACGTCAGGTGGCTAGCCTTGCTAATTGAATGGATGCGACCCGTGTAGAAAACATACATTTAGCTGAAGTTAGCTACGTTTTAGAGCTGACATGCATCTTAAAGACTCAATCATGTACACTTACTTTTCATGAGCGCTGATCTGACAATTAATGGCATTGCCATTTGACCAAATCAACTCGAGAGAAAGAAAGAAATGAACGGCGCAGTCAAGTAGAACGGCTGTCAAGTAAAAGTTAAGTATTGGTGTTCAAAGCTAGCCTAATGCAACAAAAATGTATAGAAAAGCAGATAATGGCTTACCATTACTGTGAACAAAGAACTAATGCTGTAAATACGACAATCAATATTTGTTCCATTAAACTAGCTGGCTGGTTTTGTCCCCCCAAAAAAAAGCTACGGGATCGAGGAAGGCTAAAAAAGTTGCTTTCGATTGGGCAGGATAGGTTAGCGTTTCTAACCAATTATGAACGAAATAATTTAACAGAAAAATATTAGAATTCTTACAATAGTTGTTCGTAGTATAATTTCATTCAATAACCAAATTGTTAACTGGCAAGCTGGAATAAAGAAGTTCGTTTATTGAGGGATGTCAAAAGATACACTACTTGAAATTGATTTTTATTTCTGCCAACAAAATAAACTCTCCTTCCTTCAAATACATACAAGCATGTAGAGGCATGGTACTGAGCAAGCAGCAATTTAAAAAACATGGGAGAGTAATAAAAGATGCAAAACAATACTTATACAAAAGCGTTAACTTATTCATCCATCTGGCATAAAACAATTCTCTAATTTACCAGTTCACAACTTGCTTTTATGAGCTCAATATCAAAGAATAAGGACAAACCAATATGACTGCGGACAAACTCACTAACTGCCTAAAACAGACAAGGTCAAAATAGGGGTGAAGACTGTAGGGATGACAGTTTGATGTGGAATATTCTCCATGATCGTGGTGGCTGTTTAGGTTGCATGCTGAGCAGTAGAAAAGCACAGCTTGAGGGTGTATGGGTACGGGCCAGCTGAAGAGACAAAGACAGAAGATATCAGAAAACAGCAATCACACCCTACATCATCCTACACATTATTCATTTAGCAGACGCTCTTATCCAGAGCGACTTAAAGTTAGTGAGTGCATACATTTTTCATACTACACCATTTAAATAAACATTTATACATAGGCTTAGCGCCCAACCACTTACTTGCGTTCTTCATCTGGTAGTGGTTTATCATGGACAAGGCCTCCATGGCGTCGTTGATGGACTCCCACTCCAACAGCCCTGAAGAGCTGCGCTCACCTGGACCTGCACCTGATAAGACAGCCCAACTCAGTTTAGCACCACTGTCATACATACCAAGAGTACGTAGTTTCAAAATGACATCTAAAAAGGAAGCTCAAATGTACACTTACTCTTTCCCGTGAAAAGTTTGATGTTTGCAGGGGCTTTGACACCAACCTCTTCACAGATCTGAAAAGAACAAGACAAGGTCAATTGATGACTGTTTTGTAGGCGTTGGTCTTATTTCACTGCTCCCTACATAAAAATGGGTCACCAGTGTGCTTTGGGACTCACCTGAGTGAAAATCTCTACGGACGAGTCTGGCTGGGCGTTGAAGAAGTGCAGGACGTTGCTGGGGTGCTGAATGCGGTTCTTGGCAGCCTGCTCTGGGGAGGTGAAGCGGTTGTTGCGGGAGCCGTGGAAGTCCTTAAAGCTGGTGCTGCCGTCCTCCAGCTCGTAAGACTGACCAGGCATGATTGCCTGCTGCTTGGACACACTGCAAAGGGAAAAGAGCATTAGACAACTTGTACAAGCCACAAAGAACAGTCCCTTATTATAGCAAGAGGCAGCAAATAAGATTAAGCACTAGCGGAAAAAAATAAAATCACAAATAAAAGACAAGGCGCTGAATGAACAGGCGTTTCAGATTGACATCTTACCAGACGTTGAGCTTCTGTCCAAACAGGAAGTTGTTGTTGAGGTGTGTGATGGCCCGGTCCACAGCATAACAGTCTCCCATCTCCACCATGGCTGCTCCTGGCTTACTCTTCATAAACTTCACCTGAGGTAAGGGACCAGATGCATGGGGTCACTCAATATCAGCAGCCTCTTATTTAAATAAATGCATTGGATTGCCCCCTTCCCCCTCCACACTTACCCGCTCCACGTTGCCATAGAGACAGAAAACATTGAACACCTTGTCTGCGTTCATCTTGGCAGGCTCCAGACCGTAGACCATGACTACAGGGGAGTCTGCGTGGGCACTGTACTCGCCGGGGGGGGGAGGAGGAGGGCCGTAGCCAGGTCCCCCGCCGTAGCTGTGTGCCCCCCCTCGTCCCCTCATGGGAGGACCCATGCGACGGCCCTCGCTGTAGTGTGGGGGTGGAGGGGGGCCATAGCCGCTCTCGTCATATCCATGGTAACCACCCGCTAGGAACACAAGGGACCACAGGATCAAACAGGGAACATTGTTTGATATGGACAAAGGCTAGACTTCCCAAAGAAAGTGGTCAACCTCACCATGTGTAAAACTTTCCATTATCAGGTGAGCTAAGACAATTGACTACGCCGCACCACCTCGCTGCCACTGTGGGGTACCCATTTTTAGTCATACATTTTTAGCCGCCACCTGCACCTTGCAGGTGAATTTAGTGTGAGGAGAGCACTACAAGGGACAGCACGTGTGTGGCCCCCCTGGGCCTAAGAGCCTTACCGTACTCTGGAGGGTGGTCTCCCAGCAGAGCCGGCGCTCTCACACGCTTGTTGGGGTTGGCACTCCCATCTTCTGAGGTGATAAATTCAGGAGGCAGAGGAAGGAGAAAGAGGAAGAGAAGAGCGATAGATAAATTGACAAGACACGACAATGCAGCGCAATAGCGGATGTTCAATTAGAATTAAGGATAGCACACAAGAAAAACACCACATCTAAAAGAAAGCACACTAACCGTAATAACTACTGAACATTTATAACACCAACAAGACAAAAACAAATCTACATAGTATATCTACTGGTTCAGTCATGGCATTTTGATGCCAAAGGTTGGACAAGTTTCTATGACAAAATGTATCTTCAATTCTTGGAGTTTAAACAAACTGTTATTACTACAGCTAAAAATGAATTAACAAATGCTAACAAGTAAACAATCCTGAACGCTAGATAAATCCTCAATTTTAAATGTTTTAGCATATGGTAGAAGGGAGAATGAGGTGGGTGAGAATGAATCCAACAGAAGTATGCAAACACACCTCCAGCATTGCTCCCATTGCCATCAGCTTCTGCATCTGTACAGGTACACATCTCATACACATTACATTCAGGCCAGATTAAAACACACATGCACCTACACATGGGAGTGTTTTGAGAAAAATGACTAAAAGCATCACTGGAGCACTTGAAATATTTGACTACTTCAATACATTCACAGTCCGTTATCTCCATACTGTAACTAGGATATACAAATAATAAAGTGTCACATTTCAATTATGTCTACAAGTCTGGGGAAATGAAAATACTACATATAGCCCCCCTTAGTGGAGAGCCACCCAAACACCAGCTTTATTCATACAAGTCAAGAGGACAAAATGCCCACAGGGAAAGCACTACAAGTCCCCCCCCAGGGGAAATATGGTGTCACTGAGAAGGGGAGTGGAACACCATATAAAAGCAGACACAACATAAAAAACCTTCAAGGAGGATAATATCACAATATATTTTTTGAAGACATCCCGAGTGTAAGAAATGGGAACATGTGTTGTGTGCAAACTGGGGCTCAGTTTACTTACAGCATGGATATATTGGGGGACAAAGATTGTGGCTGGAGACATTTGCTGTTATTTGGCAGTGGGTCCATTACTTCTCTCCGTGTTCATTTCATCCTTTCCATCTTTCACTCCACTCCCCTTTGGAAGAACATTTCCACCTTTGTCGGATTTCTGGCCTTTTTTGTGTCAATTTCCACTGTGGTTGGTGGTCCACTCTCCAAGTGCCTTATCGAATACACTCCTTGCCAATGGCAGGCCGCAAAGCAGCCATTTGGCACATTTCAGACCTGGGTCCTCATTAGGTGCAAATTGCCAGACCTGCGTCACATGGAAGGTGTTACACAGGTACTAAAAAGGTCAATATCCACAAAAGAGCTGCATTCAGGAAAAGATGGAGAAACTAGACAGGGATGCATGTTGCAAGAACAGTATAGGGAGGAAAGGAGGGGGGGGGGGGGGGGGGGGGGAGAGGCAAATCAGAACACCCGACTCCATGAGGTATGCATATATGAGGAGAAAAATATGGTCTGTCTGAATGTGCGTATGCTTGTTCATGTTTGTAGTGTCTTCATCAGTTGTCTGTTGTATTCCTTCCCATGTGACTGGCTACAGCCTTGACAGTGATGGTGCGAATCATCTATGGAGTCAGTACAGCAACAGGAGTGGAGGGTTTTGAGTAGTGTTTGATGTGTTAAACACCAGGAGCAGGGCACAAGAGAGCGAAACCACCTGCACCACCAAAGACAGGCAGGTACAGAGAACAGGACTGTGTAGTCTTGAGCAACTGGTTTGTATCAGTATGGTTCATCTGTTTTGTGTTTGTGGGAGCATGCTCGTCACTATGGGTCTCTGGATGTTGTCTTTATAGGGTGGGTCTCCTGTGGATGTGTATCAGTCAAAAAGCTTCCATGTCAGCAGTGAGGTGATGACTTGCAGGTGAGGTCTGGGTGATGGCATGTTTCAATGTGTCAGGCATGTCTTGCTGGGGTCTCAAAACTGGGAGGGTGTGGAAAGCACAGCTTAGTGCCAATGTACCAGCAACCAAACTCCCCATGGAAAATGTGTCATGCCATAGAAAAGGTATAGGGGATGTCTTCGTGGCTTTGGAGCTATGCTGTTGCAGCACAAAGGAGATGGATTGAGGGGGGGGGGGGGGGGGGGGGGGGGGGGTCAGTTTATCAAAACATGTCTGCTGCCATGGTCTTGCAGTCTATCCATCCCCAATGTCCTAAGTGTTCCTTCTGTTTGGTACAGAAAGTGGATGTGTCCTTATTGAAGTAGGAGCGGTGGAGGTTGAGGTGGTGTTGAGAGTAGTGTTGACGGCAGCAGTAGTGTTGGGAGTAGTGTTGATGACGGCAACAAATGTGTCTCCGATGCATATATGGAAATGTGTTGCTCCAAAGTGTTCCGACGAGAAGCTAGAGTGGCTGTTGTTTTGCAGTATGGTCTATGCTTAAAGTAGCCTGTATAGATGTACAGATCTATACATTGACGAGTGTGCTGGGAATGAAAGGAGCAATTTGCTGTCGGTAGAGCAAGTTTCACAAGAGACTCAAGTGGGTAAACAAGAAGGTATCTTTGCTCAGACTGTCTAGTCTTACAACTTGATGTATCCATGGGCAGTGCATCAGATTGGTTGCCATGGCACAAACAATACATAGCAATCAGTATGTATAAGTATATTTTTTGACAGTGATGTTATGCCTCTGTATCAGACACTGCGGAGACGCCATGAAACGGGTATTCAGACAAGAATGTAAGGCATGAATGGGTCGGTGGTGTGGAGTGGTTAGATTTACAAGCAACATCCTAGAACGCTTCCTTCCCTCCCATTTAATGAGCAACAAATGACTGCTTCGTCAGGTAGTTTTACTACTTCTCCAAGCTTTTGTTGCGAGTCAGTCAACGCCAAACTAGAAACTCAGAATTCACAGGACCTTGACTTGGTACCCTTAGTGCCCACATATCTTTAGATCTGATAGCACTGGGTTGAGGGTAAGGAGTTTACTCAGGGGTGTTCCAAGCAAGGGTGGCACCTTTTCTATTATCATTATTTTTTAATTAGGTGTACAAGTAAAATCCTTGAGCAATAACTGTAGTCTCTAGTGAAGAATATCTGCCCATTCAGCTGCTCCTTGCATCCCTAGCGTGTCTGGCTGTGTGACGGACGGTGTATCACCAGAAGACCACACCAGCACTTCAGTCATAATGCCACTGAAATGGAGCCCCATGCAAGAGTTAACGGTAATTCGCTAAACCAATATAACAGCCGGTGAGAATGATACCAACCAAGCCCTGCTTACATTAGAAAGAGTTGGACATTGAGCTGGTTAAAGGGGCATTTCCTGTGCTCAGTGGCATTACCCCTGAAGGTCTACCATCGAACCCCCCTTCCCATCCCCCACAGTAGCAGTAAGGGTGATGGTAGTGTCAGCAAGGACCGCAGATGGCTGTGTGCGTTACCTTGACCACTCAGATTGGGGTTGGTGTAGTCCCAAGTGTCCTGGTCATTCTTGAACACATTGAGACGAGTTGGCTGTGGGAAAATATACAAATTAATTCCATCAAAGCATTTTTCAAAGTCCATATCATGGAACACTAGAAGCTCTTCAGGGCTATGGATTTGCATTTTCCCCTACCTTGGCATATTCGATCTTGAGTGTGCAGCAGCCAGAGTAGATGTCTGCCCCATTGAGGGAGGCTTTTGCCCTCTGTGCACTCTGCACCGAATCAAACGTGTTGGGAGTCAAGGAAAGGACATGTAGACTACAGTTCTGAGAACAGCACCTTGCGCAGACACCATAACACGTTCCGGTTATTCCGGAGCTTATTGCACAAGCCCTTGTTTACCAGTCTCTTAGTGCTATTAAAAAAACGAAGGGAAAAAAATAAAATACTAACGTGTTAATAGTCTAATCACTCATCACATACAGTATGTGCAACAAACAATTGCCATGTTCCAGACTGTAGGTTGCCTGACATGGTATGTAGAGAAAGTATGGCAACTTCAAACTCCAGAAGTCTTAGTTTCACCAAGGATTACCCGAGGGCATGCAACTGTTTCACAAAAAACGTCATTTTCAAAAATGAATTTTGCAGCAAAGGATATTCCACCATGGCCTGAACACCATTCTTCCGGAAGATGACAATCCTCTGGACAGGGCCGCAGTTATTGCAGACCGTGTAGAGCACATCCTGTAGACATAACAAGTAATTCACATTATCAGAAATAATAACGAAGTACACAGCACAACAGAATCAACAGGTTGGGTAGAGGTGGCCAACACTTTACCGTGGTAACAGGGTAGATTGGGTTCATGATGGTGAGAAGTAGCACATTGTTGACACTTCTAGAATCGTCCGGGTCGCCCGGCCGGGAGATCTTCTGGCTGGTGGAGTAGTTGACAAAGGCTGGGTGCCCGGAAATGTAGATCTGGTTGTCATTCGCATACGTCACAGCAGTACATGACCCATTCAGATCCTCGTACTCAACCAGGGCCTGACGCTTCTTGGGCATAACCACCACATAGCTGTAAACAAAAAGGTTATATTAATAAAGGATGCATAACAAAGTTAAGAGGACACAGTTTCTTTACTTCCACCTGGACAAAAGGAACACCCATGTGAGAATGTTGTTCATTGACTACAGCTCAGCGTTCAACAACATAGTGCCCACAAAGCTCATCACTAAGTTGAGGACCCTGGGACTAAACACCTCCCTCTGCAAGTGGATCCTGGACTTCAACGGGCCGCCCCCAGGTGGTAAGGGTAGGCAACAACACATCTGCCACACTGATCCTCAACACTGGGGCCCCCCCAGCGATCCGTGCTCAGTCCCCTCCTGTACTCCCTGTTCAACCACGACTGCGTGGCCAAGCACGACTCCAACACCGGTAGGCCTGATCACCGACAACGATGAGACAGCCTATAGGGAGGAGGTCAGAGACCTGGTAGTGTGGTGCCAGGACATCAACCTCTCCCTCAATGTGAGCAAGACAAAGGAGCTGATCGTGGCCTATAGGAAAAGGAGGGCCAAACAGGCCCCCATTAACATCTACAGGGCTGAAGTGGCGCAGGTCAAGAGTTAAATTCCTTGGTGTCCACATCACCAGCGAACTATCATGGTCCAAACACACCAAGACAGTTGTGAAGAGGGCATGACAACACCCACCCCCCCCCCCTCCTCCTCAGGAGACTGAAAAGTGTTGGCATGTGTTTCCAGATCCTCCAAAAGTTCTACAGCTGCACCATCGAGAGCATCCTGAACGGTTGCGTCACAGGCTGATATGGCAACTGCTCTGCATCTGAACGTAAGGCGCAACAGTGTAGTGCGTACGGCCCAGTACATCACTGGGGCCAAGCGTCCTGACATCCAGGACCTATATACTAGGCAGTGTCAGAGGAAGGCCCAAAAAATTGTCAGACTCCAGTCACCCAAGTCATAGACTGTTCTCTCGGCAACTGCATAGCATGCGGTGCTGACGCGCCAAGTCTAGGACCAAACGGCTCCTTAACAGCTTCTACCCCCCCAGCTGAACAGTTAATCAAATGCCCACCCGGACTATTTACATTGACACCACCCTTTGTTTTTACACTGCTGCTACTCGCTGTTTATTACAAATTACCTCGACTAACCTGTACCCCCGCACATATAATAATAAGCCATTTAGCAGACGCTTTTATCCAAAGCGACTTAGTCATGTGTGCATACATTTTTACGAATGGGTGGTCCCGGGGATCGAACCCACTACCCTGGCGTTCCAAGTGCCATGCTCTACCAATTGAGCTACAGATGACCATATAGCCTTGTTATTGTTATGTAATTTTCTTAACTCTATTTCTTGAACTGCATTGTTGGTTAAGGGCTTGTAAGTAAGCATTTCACAGTAAAGTCTACACCGGTTGTATTCGGCGCATGTGACAAATAACATTTCATTTGATTTTGACCTGGCCTCCTCTGGAGTGCTTCTGGGTGAGCAGGCTTTTGTTTCAGCACTGCTCCAACCCACCAGATTCTAGCTGCTCATCGGGAACTTGAGCTGAATCAATTGTGTTATAGAAGGGTTAGAACAAAAGCCTGCACACACAGCAGCTCTGCAGAGGTAAAGAGAGCAATCACTGGTTTAACAGTAACCACCTATAAATGGTTGCATTGTGTTTGTGTGGAGCAACATTTTGACCATGAAATGTGTGCATTGTAAGTGAAGTAGCCTGGTCAGCTTCTGCTTGAGCCATTTCGTGAAGAAAAGAAACATGCAGATATTTTTTAGGGCAGGCAGTCACTCAATGTGCATATTCATCACCTAATAGCTCCAAACTCCTGCAGAGCCTCCACAAGGTCAGCCTCCGTAATGCCATCCACCAAGCCCCTCACATGCACAACTGGAGAGGGAAGGGTCTTATGTGGGTCATCATAGCCCTCCTGCAAAAAATAATGGATAAATTAAATTCAAACAATAAACTCATGTTTCCTGGTTAGCTCATAGCATGCTTTATAAGAATTGAGGTATCAGATGTATGTAGCTAGCTGACTAAACTACATCGTCAAATAAGTTTGATGAACTCCACCAATGGAGTTGAGCAAAGACCAGGCTTTGCGTAATTCAGCTCCGACTACGTCAACTCGTCCAAGTTCAATATTACCATGTACCCATGTCCTCTGCAGTTGCATGCGCAAAGAGTTGGTGGTTGTATTTGGTTAACGTTTATTGGAAAAGTATGGGTTTCAGCAAACAAAGGCACGCAATTGCAGAGGACATGGGTACAAGTTAAGCGTTTCATAAAGTGCATTTTTTGAAGTATTTAAATGGTTTTTATTTTACGTAAAACGTATGGATTTCGGCAAACAAAGGCACGCAACCACAGAGGATAAACATAGGTACACGGTAAGCGTTTCAAAATTATATATTTTTGAAGTGTTGACCTTGGGCGAATCGATGAAGTCAGAGCTCAATTCACAAAGCCTGCTCTCTGCTAAACTCCGTTGGTGGAGTTCATCAAAACTTCCTTCACCATGGAGCAGAGTTTAGTCAGCTATTGTGTAGCTAGCTAGAACTACAATCCATTCGATTTCCAATCTAAACTCGATTTTATTCACCTTGGCAGGAAAGATGAACATTAACTACCTACCAAAATGTCATTAAGTAGGGGTAACTATTCAGTAAAAAATGTTGGGAATATTAGTGAGGAAATGTATTTTGTTATCCCTAATATTACGACAACATGGCCTCATACGGTTATGCATATTCGAGAATATTAAAATAGACTACATAAAGTAGCAAACTAATTAGCTCGCTGGCTAGTTACCGGCTACATCAATGAACGAGTCAATAATGAATCTGTTTATTTCAAGTTAACACACCAACTCGTGTTCGTTGCCTGGCAAAACGACCCCGCTAGGCTAGAACAAAGCAATAACGTTGCGCTACCACTAACTAGTTACCATATGATTTATGGCGTGGCCTGGATTGCACCCGCCCATTCATTCACATGAAAAAAGGCTAGTTAGCTAGACAATTGTTGGAAAAAGATAACTAGCTAGCCAGTTAGTTAACTAACTACATAGCGATATGTTTACTCCACTGACAATTTAAGTTAAACATTAAATAGTATACCCACAGGTATTCTACAAAAAAATATTTGGTGGTTTTCTTTAACATCGTGGAACACGGGTGAGCACGAGCTAGCTAACGTTTCTGGATGCAATATATTTTTGAAACGCCGCGTCATGAGTCTGTAAGATTGTGTTATTTACAACTAAATAGTAGATTTAAATGCATGCGTTTAAATGCATGTTCTTGTTATATCACAGAAGTCACCATTAATTATTTACCGTTGCCATTCCGTCGTTGGTTTTTAGTCTTTTCGTTGCCCTGCCGCCTTCGTAATAACGGCCTGCCATAGCCATGTTGTCCCAGTTAAAAAGGGTGGTAGCCGGTGACCGTGTGAAATGGACGGGAAAGGCATGAAAAAGACACACCTATGGGCCCGCCTTGAAGAGTCTGCTGCGGTTTCCAATTGGCCTAAAAGGCACGTCAATAATGTCATCATCAATTTAGGACCAGTTAAAATGCACAAAACACAAGCGTTTCTGAATATCTTCTAGTCAGAGCTCAAATCACTACTACTGTATTGATCACTTATCTATAAAAAAAAGTAAATAAGATTAACCATCTTTATTTCTACAGTCAATACCTTTTCAATTCAGGTTAGTGATCTAGGTGCTTACAGATTTTTGAGAATGGATTTTAATTAGCAAGGTTGAAAAGAGAGCCAAAGCGGAGTTCTTATTGGCCTTGTATCACAAACCCTCGAGGTGCCTTATTGCTATTATAAACGGGTTACCAACATAATTAGAGCAGTACAAATAAATGTTTTGTCATACCCATGGTATATGGCCTGATATACCATGGCTGTCAGCCAATCAGCATTCAGGGCTCGAACCACTGGTTGATGATTATTTACAAAACCCTTAGGCCTCACTCCCCCCAATCTGAGATACCTACTTCAGCCCTCATCCTCCACATACAATACCCGTTCTGCCAGTCACATTCTGTTAAAGGTCCCCAAAGCACACACATCCCTGGGTCGTTCATCTTTACAGTTTGCTGCAGCTAGCGACTGGAACGAGCTGCAAAAAACACTCAAACTGGACAGTTTTATCTCCATCGTTTCATTCATACACTCAATCATGGACACTCTTACTGACAGTTGTGGCTGCTTCACGTGATGTATTGTTGTCTCTACCTTTTCGCCTTTTGTGCTGTTGTCTGTGCCCAATAATGTTTGTACCATGCTGTGTTGCTACAATGTTGTTTTCATGTTGGGTTGCTACCTTGCTGTGTTGTCATGTGTTGCTGCCATGCGGTTGTTGTCTTAGGTCTCTTTATGTAGTGATGTGTGTTTGGTCCAATATTTATATATTTTAAATCCCAGCCCCTGTCCCCGCAGGAGGCCTTTTGCCTTTTGGTAGGCCATCACTGTAAATAAGAATTTGTTTAACTGACTTGCCTAGTTAAATAAAGATAAAATAAATAAAAAAGGAAATAACCATGAATGAAGGTGTTGACCACATGTCAACAAGTCTTCCAAAAGTGATAAGGTGGGGCATAAACTTGAAAATGAAAACCATTTTACATGCGAAACATACCATGTCATTTCCTTTTTTAATATAAAACATATCCATGTAAGACATTCTGTAGATGTTTCAATGTTCTAAAGAATAACAAAACACTGAATGTGTCGAGATTTATTCCAAAATCTGCCCATCATAAACCAAGAAAAGCAAAACTAAAAGTACATCCGTTACAGCTCTTGAAGGCAATGCCACACTGAATATAGTAGATAACAAATAAGAACAAATACAACATTCTGGTTCACAAATCCCACTTCTGAAATTAGCTTTTGAACTGTTTTGCTTTATTTAAAAAATGGGACATACGGGAGAGCCATTTTAGGAATGTGACATCATGTAAGGCATGCAGGGTTAGATATAAAGCTAATCCTGTAGAGTAATTACACGGCATCAGAAAAGGAAGGGGTAGACTAATCAATGTAGGGAACAAAGACAAAACAAATAGCTGCAAGGCTAAAGCCAGTTGGTTGGAGGGGGATGGAGATGAGTTTAGTCTTCAAATCAATCCTCGCCTGGGGTGGGGCTCTTTTTCTGGCTTGGAGATCTGGAACGACTGAAACAGACAGAGAGGGGTGTATATAGTACAGGGCAGACACAGCATGTCCACTCAATAGCCAGCCCGGCACCCATCTTGTCCCAGCATGTCCACTCAATAACTAGCCCAGCACTCATCTCAGAACCAAATCACAGCTCCAACCCTGCTGGCCCATAATCAGCGGTGTACTTAATTAGTACTTTCAAGTATTTTTACTTAAGTTGTTTTTTGGGGGTAGTTATATTTTTGACAACTTTTACTTCACTACATTCCTAAAGAAAATTATGTACTTTTTACTCCATACATTTTCCCTGACACCCAAAAGTACTTGTTACATTTTGAATGCTTAGCAGGACAGGAAAATGGTCTAATTCACACACTTATCAAGAGAACATCCCTGGTCATCCCTACTGCCTCTGATTTGGCAGACTCACTAAACACATGCTTTGTTTGTAAATTATGTCTGAGTGTTGGAGCGAGCCCCTGGCTATCCAAGTCATTTTCTATTAAGGTATCTTTACTTTTACTCAAGTATGACAATTGGGTACTTTTTCCACCACTGCCCATAATGCACTCTGTCCCACTACAACCAGTTTACCTTGGTCAGGACACTTTATAAATACAACACATTACAGCTACATTGGATATCACCAACTTCCACGAATGATATAACATGTAGGGAGGGGAACCCTAATTTTGCATAATTAAATCAACAAGTGAAAGTTCCAGAGGTCAAGGAAATGGAGGAGCTGGCTGTTGAGAGACTGGGATATTTTAAAGGGGGTTTGAGGTGATAAAACCATCCCTTGCATTTTCACACAATAAAACAAAAGACCAGGGTAGGAGCTGAACTTTGCAAATGGCACCCAAAACCCTGAAAAAACCCTGACCAAATAAATGACAAAATACTTGCCTTTTGCAAGCCCACATCTTTAGAATCCTACCTTAATATGGTAAACTATCACCTATGTACAGAAACTTATTTAAAACCCAAGGGAACAGCGCAAACATTCAAAAAGGTTTACCTAATATAAAGAATCAGGACAAGCCACCATCAAGGTATGTTATTTTTCAGAAGTAAATCAGCTACATTCCCCCTAAAAAAATCCTACACTGTATCACTACACCCAGGATTATATGTAATGTATTCCAAAGATAATATTTAACACTCATACACCCACCCACAGACACACACATACACCTGTGGATTCTGACAGTGCATGCTCTGTTTAGTTGAATGTTAGCGTACAGTATGTTAGGGAGTATCAGACTATACGTCTGCGTTCTGATCATGAATGACATTGACTCTTGGGTTTTGGTTACCTTTGGAGACAGTGGCAGAAACAACATGTACAGAGAAGCGACGGATGCTAGAACTCGAAGACACACTCGGAGGGTCTTGAAGTCTGATCTCTCGTCAGCTCTCCTTTCTCACCCTCTCAGAAGCTAAGCAAGAGGCCGGGCTCTGTAGGGAGGGGGCCTTAACTGGTCGACTGAACTCGGCTCAGCGTTCAGGTCTGTGGTGCGTGGGTTCTGGGAGGGAGTGGGGTGGGTGGAACAACTGTGTGTGCGCGCGTAGGATGGATGTGTCTCGTCAGAACGTGCGTTGGACGACCTCTTTAACCAGCGTGGCGCAGGCTGATTTCTGGTCAGCCCTTTTCACCCTCCGGGAGGATGTTAACACAGCAAGGATGACCCTGGTCAGTGCTTGTGCAGTCAGTCGACTCCCCACACTCTCTCTTTTAAAAAAGGCCTGCTGCGATTGGTCCCTGGAGTCTGATCCCGACAGATTTCTCTTTTGGGTTTTTGAGGTTCTCTCGCCCTCTGAAGCTAATCAAATTGAGGCTGGATCTGAGGGAGAAGAGAAAAGAGAAGAGCCCCACTCCCCCCAGCCGTCACCCAAACAGCCCCTCTGTCTCCGAGTATAGGCTCATCTGCTCTGTGTGCGACTCTCTGAAGCTAATCAAGGTCTGGCCAGGTCATTCTAGGAGAGGGACCTCCAAGAGAAAAGAACATTAAAATCAGGTATTTGTAAAATATAAAGAGGGGGGTTTGGGGTGGGGCAGTGTTCCTCACTCTAGCTTGGGGTGCGTTAAGAGTCCCTGACTATTTTTTCTCTCCCCCTCCTTGGCCCCATCTCCAGCAGCAGCCATCTCTCTGATGAGTTGTCGCTCTGTGCGTTCTGGAAGGTCGACTCAGCAGACTTCGGGTGGAGGCTGGTCTGAGGTTGAGGGGGCAGCTACCCACGACTTACCTGATCACACCTTGCCCTGTCTAACAGATAGCAGTATACCTAAACTTAAACTGAGTCAATGTGTGGACTGTCATCTCTGACATTTTTTGATTTTATGATTAAAAGAGGTGGGTGGGGGTGGGGGTGGGGGTGGGGGGGGAGCTTCCAGCACATTTGCAAAACAATATTCAAAATCGACCAAATTAAGTATAATTAGCAGTATTGTACAATATGGGCTACAAGACAGACGATCGTTTTAAGTCATGGCATTTACACAGTGCAGTAGCAGCTGTGAAGGTATGGCTTGACGAGGCAACGAGCTTACCTATTCCTCTTATGGCTGGGAGAGCGGGATCTGGAGCGAGAGCGGGACGCCGAGCGCCCTCTGGCCCGGGACCCTGACCGAGAACGGGAACGACTGCAACACAATAAACATGGGAGCAAAGACGCAGGAACACCAACTCCAGATGGGATCAAGAGACAGGACAGCTTTCAAGAGGAAATTATTGTGCAACTGTTATACGAAAGTGGCTTACCTCCTGGACTTGGACTGCGCAGGGGAGCCGGACCTAATATGGATGGGTGAAGTGTTTTAAGTGTTTAAAGAAAATGACCTGTTTTGAAGCCAACAGATAAATTAAATGAAAACAATTAAATTAATACATTTGCAGGAACAACAGGTTTGCTCAGAATGCAAATGTAGACTATACTTCCTATGAAACCAATAAGAAAAAAATGCAATGTCATCAGCATGCAAAATTAACCGTAGACTTACCTCTTCCTACGTTTGGGATAAGATGGGGAGCGGTGCCTGCTGCTGTGTTGTAGGAGAGAGACCAGTATCAGCACAGGGAGAGGTTTGAATGAGAGTAGCAAAGCAGGGGGTAGGAGGAGAAACTCGGACTTACCGGTTATTGCTGCGGGAGCGGGATCGATAGCGGCTGCCACGTGACCTGGAGCCGGAACGAGACCGGGAGCGAGATCTGGAATACAAGAAACAGGCTTTGATGTCTCTAATACAGCGTTTTTCTGTGAAAGGTGGGTTGCGAGTTATGAGAATACATCTATAAACACCCATTATTTCTACTTAATTTGGATCGGAGGACGATTTGGGTCACGGGAAGACAGTCAATTTCTAATTTGGGGCTCGAGCTGAAAAAGTTTAAGAACCCCTGCTCTAATATATAACCCACAGTAGTGAAACAAAGAGGACGGCATTGCCCCTCAGCAGTAGAGACGAATCCAACCAGGTCAGCATATTTTGTCTGTGCTTAATAGTTTCTCGATAACATAGTGACATTTTTCTCAAACCTAGGGATACTGTGATGTAATAAGAACAATGTTGCATAAGGGGAAAACCATAATCTGCATTATGCTGAATTATGACTGCTAATCGCAGTATATCAAAGGCAGCCAGTAGACATTGGGCAAGAAGAATACCTGCTCCGACGACCTCCTCCTCCCCTCTTGCTGAAACGGTAGCAGTCGTAGGCATAGTGGCCCCTGTCCCCACACTGGTAGCAGCGATCTTGAGGGTCAAAGTGGCGGCGGCTGGGGCGGCCATGTTTGGTCTTCCGTGACATGCCAGTGGACAGCTCCACACGGATCCGAGAGCCGCACAGCACCCTGAGGTAGGGAGAGAGGGCAGAATTGAGTGATAATAGGGTAAGAAAGAAAACATAATGTAATACTGGGCAACATCTGCAAGATTATGGCCTGAATTACAACAATTAATATCACAAAACTGAAAACACACCCCTTCAACAAAAATATCTATAAACTGAAGCGAAAACATTATGGGCTGTGAAATGTGCAGATCAATATAAAGTTACTCACTTTCCATCCATGCCTTTAACTGCATCCTCTGCGTCACGGGCATCCTCATACTCCACAAAGGCGAAACCTGGGGGGTTCCTGGCCACCCAAACGCTGCGTAAAGGTCCATAGTAACTGAACGCCCGCTCTAGCTCACCCTTGGCAGCACCGTTGCCCAAGTCGCCAACATAGACCTTGCAATCAGTGTTACGAGAAGAGCTGCGAGAAGACGAGTGATATGACATCTTCCCACCTGAGGAAAGATGGAGAAACTGTCAACATCCACAATGAACCAGTTAATTAGCTAAAGTTAGTTAAAAAGTAAACATAGGAAAATTGAGCTGTGCTTGAGAGCATGAAGCTAGTTAGCTAGCTACTAATATAAATAACATAGTTAGCTAACATTAGCTATAAATACAAGCTACCGGGTGCGTTGCACAAGGTAGATAACAGCTGGGATAGCAAGCAAGAAAACAACTAGCTAGCCAGGGGTGTATTCATTACGGAAACCGTTTACCGTTTAAGAACCAAACGGAAGCTAACAGAGCAAAACAAGAGTTTCTATTGGACAAATTCGGTAGGTCCCTCCCCGTTTCGTTCAGTTTTGCTCTCGTTTAAGAAACGTTTTGCAACGGAAACGGCGTAATGAATACACCCCAGCTCTGCGCTTGCCGTTTTAATACCCTGTTATCTCTGACAATGTTTCTTCCTTATTATACTGTGTAGCTAACAATTTTATCGCTAGTGACATACTCAATAAATTAACCAGAGACGATATAGCTAGCTAGCAAGATAACGTTGTTTCTATCTAGCTTCCTTATAAAACTAGCTAGCTACGCTAGATATCAAGTAAACAATGGCGTCCGCGCGCTTACCTTTATCCCCACAGTTCCGCGATTTATTTATCAGTCTCCGCTCAATTTACAGAAATAAAACATGGGCGAAACGTCTTAAATTATTTCTTATTTTGATGACTTATTTTACAGGATTTCAAATTCTTCACTAGCCAACATACCTATTCGCTGTCAGACTACCCGTGCAATAATGCACTTGCGCAGTAATGTGCCCCACTACAGTGAGGTCATGTGGTGTTTTTCACATTGGTTATGATGGCCTTGGCCTTTGGCAAACTGGGGGCAAGAGGACGGTCAATCTGCCATACAGGTTTGAGGGAAGTCTTGATTTTATACCTAAAAATGTTCCATATATATATATATATATTTGTATTCTTTTTGAGATTGCGATATACTGAATACAAATATAAACGCAACATGTAAAGTGTTCCATGAGCTGTAATAAAAGATCCCAGAAATATTCCATAGCACAAAAAGCTTATTTCTCTGTATTCTTTTTGAGATTGAGATATACTGAATAAAAATATAAACGCAACATGTAAAGTGTTTCATGAGCTGTAATAAAAGATCCCAGAAATATTCCATAGCACAAAAAGCTTATTTCTCTCTACTTTTGCTCACAAATTTGTTTACATCCCTGTTAATGAGCATTTCTCCTTTGCCAAGATAATCTATCCACCTGACAGGTGTGGCGTATCAAAAAGCTAATTAAACAGCATGATCATTACACAGGTGCACCTTGTGCTGGGGACAGTAAAAGGCCACTCTAAAATGTGCAGTTTTGTCACACAACACAATGCCACAGATGTCTCAAGTTTTGAGGGAGTGTGCAATTTACATGCTGACTGGAATGTCCACCAGAGCTGTTGCCAGAGATTTTAATGTTAATTTCTCTACCATAAACTGCCTCCAATGTCGTTTTGGAGAATTTGGCAGTATGTCCAACTGGCTTTACAACTGCAGACCACGTGTAACCACGCTAGCCCAGGACCTACACATCCGGCTTCTTCACCTGTCTGAGACTAGCCACCCGGACAGCTGATGAAACTGTGGGTTTGAACAACTGAAGAATTTCTGCACAAACTGTCAGAAACCGTCTCAGGGAAACTCATCTGCATAGTCGTTGTTCTCACCAGGATTTTGACCTGACTGCAACTTGGCATCATAACCGACTTCAGTGGGTAAATGCTCACTTTCGATGGCCACTGGCACACTGGAGAAGTGTGCTCTTCACGGGATTAATCCCGGTTTCAACTGTACTGGGCAGATGGCAGACAGCGTGTATGGCGTCGTGTGGGCGAGCGGTTTGCTGATGTCAACGTTGTGAACAGCGTGCCCCATTGTGGCGGTGGGGTTATGGTATGGGCAGGCCTAAGCGACAGACAACGAACACAAGTGCATTTTATCGATGGCAATTTGAATGAACAGAGATACTGTGACGAGATCCTGAGGCCCATTGTCGTGCCATTCATCCGCCGCCATCACCTCATGTTTCAGCATGATAATGCATGGCCCCATGTCGCAAGGATTTGTACACAATTCCAAATGGTGGTCACACCAGATACTGACTGGTTTTCTGATCCATGCCCCTACCTTTAAAAAAAAAAGGTATCTGTGACCAACAGATGCATATCTGTATTCCCAGTCATGTGAAATCCATAGATTAGGGCTTAATGAATTTATTTCAATTGACTGATTTCCTTATATGAACTGTAACTCAGTAAAATCTTAGAAATTGTTGCATGTTGCGTTTATATCTTTGTTCAGTGTATAAGGAGAGAAAGTCTTGAACGGCAGCCTACTCTTACTGTAATTTAAGTTGTTTTCAATGTCGTCTGTCACTTGTGTTCAAGTTGTCATGCAAAAAATTATTACACAGACACAGTAAGCGTTGAAAATAAATAAACTATATTAAATATGGTCAACTTGAGTTGATTACATAGTTGTTTTTTTCAGAACACATTACACCTCATGCCATAGGTTCTCCAAAACAAGTTTCATTTTTTTTCATCCTTTGTTTTTCCTTTCATAAAAAAATTAAATATAATTTTCAAATAATTTATTACAGTATTGAATAAATGTAAATATCACATATCTTCTTTAAGTCAGTCACTATTCCATACAAATGTCAGGCAGAGAGAAAGGTTCACAGATAAAACTGCACAAAGGACACATTGAAGAGCAAGACCTGGAGTGGGTCACCCCAATACAGAAAGATGAGGGGCACGAACACGAACACAGACACAGAAATATCATACTCCAACAAACTGACAACCAACTGATCAAAGACGTTCAGACATAGACAGGAAAAGTCAAGCTTTCTTTTCACAGCTTTTATAGGTAGTGAATAAATAAGTAGACTGTAGACACGTAATCAAAAAATGACAATTCACCTGCTGCTAGGCCAAGTCGACATTGCTCAGTTTGTTGCAAGCATCAGCAGACCACGCAAGCAGCCACACAGGACAAGAAGAGCAACTGTTTTGGGATAACCCGATCCAAATGTAAACCTAGACGTCCAAAACATACCACGCTAACACACAAAGGGTTCAAGCATTTGCACATAGGATGACATTTACAGCACACACACAAAACATCTGGGAGTGATATCTAATCTACAGCAATGGCAAAAGCCAGATAGTTAACTAGAAGTCATCAAAACACTGAACATTGTAGACAGTTCTATTCAGGGAAAGGCATATCATAACCAAACCAACGACCACTGTAAATGGCCTGTAAATGTAATCCTATATATCACAACCCTGAACAAGTTGACAAGATACTCGCAATGTCCATGACAAATTTGTACGTAAACATGCTAATCTCACTTGATAGTCTTCAAGTGAATTAAATAAATATATGTTGGTTGGCAGAGGGCGCAACAAACACTGAGTTGACTGCTCATCAAGATGAAAGCAAATAAGATTTCCGGTTTATATTGCACCTTGCAACTACTCTCTTTGAAGCATTGTAACGGTTCAAATGGTTTGCTTCAAGGAGCTGTTGAACAATAAAATATAATTAATAAATATAAATAATTTAAATAATCTGGGCAACAGCAATGTACATGTAGGCTACAAAAACATATACACAGTGATTTAGTAGGAGATCAATTAGACATCAGCTAGTGCTACATCAAATGAACAGTTCAAGTGGAAATTTGTCTTCAAATTGGACAATTAGAGAAATATCAAAATGTCTCTTTATTACCTGCCTAAACCATTGGCCCTATATCTATGGTGCTTCCACCATTAACAATATAATTTGAAAAATAGAAAAACGTCACTTCTGGATTTTATTTGAAGAAGAGATAAAAAGTTGCTTTTCAAAAGTTGACAAAGACTGACAGTGGGGAAACACTGAGGAGGGCCAAGGTAACTGAAATCTTTGTTGATCTTATGTATGTTATACAAGCAACAATAACCATATTTATACATGACTATTCTCAAGTGTGCCTTTACTATTTGAATCAATAAATCTGTAGTTTTGAGGGGGTTCAATTTGTTTACTCAGTTTATTTCCAAAATGTCATTACTCTTTAATCCACTTTTTGCATTTGTAATATTTAAATGTTATGAATTCTCACTGGTTGTACTGATTGACAACTCTACAGTTCAACTAGAGTTCAACTATCCTGAACTCTAAAATAAGTGGGGAAAACTCCCATATGATATAACATCTGTCTCTAGCATTGTGCAGCATGTTGACTCAGAGCCTCACTGCTGTGTTCTACTATCTCCATATCCACCTCAGAACACCTGGCAATACTGAGATAAACACACCTCCATTTTGTGTCAGCCTTGTTGTCTTCTGTTATTCTACAAGTTTTCTTAGCGACTCAGTAAGTCCGGTGATTGAACCACATGTAAGGACCATGGACAGCCTTGTAACAGTTCACTACCCCTCCCCATCTCCCACTATCTTATTAATTGCACTTTCATCTCATTGAGATTGGGGCAGGAGTAACAATATATTATATAGTAGAGTCAAATCCAGAGTAAATACAGTATCCCTAAGTGGATCTTTCAAGAATATGTTATTTCAGTTTGTATGTAATCATATATTACCTCTGCCACTCTTCTTAACTAAGTAGTAGAGATTGCTTACTGGTTCCACATATTGCACACTAATCAATTTGGTTTCTGATGCCCGCTCAAAGCATACACAAGACAAGTAACATTTTACTACATATTAAATACTCGACTTTAAGGCATTAAATGGGTATGATGCAGAATGACTGTAGTGAAGATCAGTAGTTACTCATAACAGTCTGTACCTGATGAGAACATAATGAGAACTCACGGTTTGAAATGTATTCTCTCCCAGTTTCACTGTTACGCAAACGGGGAGGTTTGGATTTCAAAAGGTAAGAAACCAGAAGAATAGGAGCATTTGAACCAACACTGTTGGACAAGTTGATGTACTGTAAGCCTCACTCCAAAATAAGATAACTTATATGCAATGTTCTTAAGTACTGATGGTGGCCCAGTGTTGCTGTATTTTGGGACAATTAGCTGGGGTTGGGTTGAGCTGATCTCAGACCAGCCTTTACTGTAAACAGGTGAGAAGCAGAGGAAGTCTGCATGCTCTTCACAGGTCCGGCTGCAGTCTGGACCTCCTGCTTTATGTGCACCATTCTCCCATGAAATACATAAACACTGTATTCTCTTGTCTCCACCCATGCATTATTTATTTTTTGTCCATGCCGGTGCCGTACTGTCACTATTATTCTGTCATGTCATGCATCTCTACCCACTATTCCACAGCAAAGGGTTACAGCCCTCCACACCTAAAAATTGTTCTGCTATAGTATCACAAGTATCACAAACAAACCACATGTTTCTTTCTTCACAAATATTGACAGATTTCAATTGAATGAACAACAATATAAACATTTCGGTACAGAACTCTCTTGGTCCTGAAGTCTTACACAGGTTGCCAATATCCTCACATATGATCTCTTTTGGACCAAACAAATGCTACCCTCAACCTCACCACCCCTCTCGGCTTTAACCTTTACATCCACCAAAGTACAATGAATAGTTACTGTCCACTGAGCAAGCGTGGAGCCAAAGGGATACAGTATATTTGTAGATGTAAAGTTTTGACTTTATACCTGTATTCATGTAAAGGATTGTTTTTGAAAAGTATACGTTAGATAGCGATACACTCTCTTGTAGTATCATATTCTAGGAGATTAATGTGTAGTTTTGTGCTGTGCTTCAGTGGATAGTAACTCACCCTTAGACAGTAACATCAAATAATATTCACACCATCAATGTGCCTGCATTGCTAAATCATAATTCCACTCTCAAGGCGGTTGCAAAAGGGCATAAAAATGTACAACGTCTCAAACATGATGGTGATGGAGGACTCTACTGTCTGCTGAAGTGGAATGCAGATCTATGCTCTCCACTGTAATATCTGAAGTCCAGTGAGACGTGAACAGTAAGAGCCTCAAGAGCTGGATGTGAGACTTTCTTTATTCAGAGTGGTTTCTCCAGAAACTCAGTCTTCCCTTCATTCAAGTCCACAGATGAGGAGGCAAATTTAGATTGAATCCCTCTGGATTGCTCTATGTTTAAGTTCGATGGATGGGATTGTGGTTATGAGAAAGGATGATGTGTCGTCTCGGAGCCATAACTTACACAAGCTACCTGCAAAAGTCATTTTCCTATCAAGTCGGAGAGTGATAACTAGTTTCTGAACCCCATGCATTATATCTGTTCCTATTGGCCACCCCATCCCACCCTATCTGTAGAGAAGTCCCTCTAATAAATACATCTACACTCCTATAGTATATAAACATGTATTTACACCAACACAGCATTGAGAGCTTGTTTCAATGTCACGTGGAATTCCCACCTCCCCCTCTATAGCAACCACAACTGCAACTTGGGGCTTTCAGTTTTGTTGTTGTTTTACTCAGTATCTCCCGTTGCTAAATGTAAACATTCTACTCATTGATCAACCATTTTCATGGTGCTGTCATAGCGACTGAAGATGGACCCATTACACTACTACGCAGTGGTGTAAAGTAACTAAGTACAAATACTTTCAAGTACTACTTAAGTAGTTTTTGGGGTATCTGTACATTACTTGACTGTTTATATTTTGGACAACTTTTACTTGTACTCTACAACGTTCCTAAAGAAAATATGTACTTTTTACTCCCATACATTTTCCCTGACACCCAAAAGTACATTTCGAATGCTCAGGCAGGACAGCAATATGGTCCAATTCACGCACCTATCAATATAACGCATTGTCATCCCTACTGGCTCTGATCTGGCGGATTCACTAAACACAAATACTGCGTTTGTAAATGATGTCTGAGTTTTGGAGTGTGCCCCTGGCTGTCCATAAATGAAGAAAAAAAACAAGAAAATCGTGTGGTCTGGTTTGCTTAATATACGTAATTTGATGTATAGCATTTACTTTTACTTTTTACTTTTACTCAAGTCTGACAATTGAGTACATTTTGCACCACTGTACTTACGTACATTTAAAACCAGTAGCATTTTACTGGGTGACTTTTACTTTTATATTTTCTATTAAGGTATCTTTACTTTTACTTACGTATGATAATTGAGTACTTTTTCCACCACTGCTACTACTTGTGTGGATTCTGTCTTTGAAAAGGAACCCCCAGTGAAAGGGAGGAGGGGTGCTGCTTTAAGCCCACACAGACATGGATTGAGTCGAGTGGATTGAGTCTGGTTCGCCTCCCCTGCATCGGTGATGGAGCTATGGCCCTCCCTGCAAAACCCATGGCACTCTACCCTGCTTCAATTAAAGCAGTCTAGATGGACCCAAAACCATGTTATGCAGCCAGCTGGAATGAATAGAATGCCACTGTAACATTTCGTTTCTACACACCCTCTGTCACTTTCTCTTTCTCTCTTTCACTCTCCCTCTTTTCCGACATGCTGGTTTACATTCTGAACATTCTTCCTTTGAAATCTCTCCTGTCTTACTTACTACATCACTTCCTTGACCAATACTTTCTTTTCTCTCCTTCTCTTCCTCATTTGTCCAGTGAGTGTGTATAACATTTGAGTGTGCAATAGGAGGTTGATGTTAATTGGGTGTCATCCAGGCTCCAGGCCATGCACAACCTGTGTGGTGCCCTTGTTACAGTACTGTATGCATTTGTTTGCGCATGCATGTAGTTATATGTGTGTATATCAGGTATGTCTACAGATCCGTTAGGTATTAGTGATCCAGTGACAATGACCAGGTCCCAACCTTTGGCCTGGGCCTTGTCCTGTAGTAGGTGTGTGTATTATAATAACTATAATGTATATCAGTGTTTTGACTAGTAGTCCTGTCTCTGCTCTCATGTGTCCTCTAGAAGCCCTCTATGTGGCAGTAGGCCTCCAGGCTGGAGAAGAGGACGTAGAGGAACCAGAGGCCCAGGAAGAAGAGGCTGGTGATGATGCGTGCTGTTCGCGGCCCGCCCAGCTCCCCCCCGATAGAGGGCCGCCGGCGGAACAGCAGCACGCCCATGCAGATGAAAGCGAAGCTGGTGAAGAGGGTGACGGAGAAGGCCAGGGAGCCCGGGTCCACGCGGAACTCCTTGCCCTGCACCTTCCAGTAGACGGCTGCCACCGACCACGCCACCCCGATGCCCAGGAACACGTTGACCGCGTTGCTGCCCGTCACGTTGCCCACGGACGCGTCGGCGTGCTGGTCCTGCGTGGCCGCCACCTTGCTGGCAAACGTGTCTGAGGAGGGAGGGAGGGAGGAGGGGAGGGAGGGGGGAGGGAGAGAAGTGAGAGAAGGGAGAGAGATAGGTGAAGTACCTGTCATCACAGCTGTCAGAGGCTGTGACTACATTTACCGCCCCATGGGTCTCCCGGTCGTGGCCGGCTACGACAGAGCCTGGAATCGAACCAGGATCTCTAGTGGCACAGCTAGCACTGCGATGCAGTGCCTTAGACCACTGCGCCACTCGGGAGACCCACTGCGCCACTCGGGAGACGAGGTGATGATGAGCAGCTTTCAGCATCTTAGTCATACTGTTGTCATAACTAAGACAACCACAGACAACATTTGTTACCGTAAACATGTTTCCTTGTAGTCTCACCACACACACAAGGATTTCACTAACTGGCCAAGCTGCAAAGCAGGAAGTTCAAAAACATTTATCTGAGTAAACTGATTTAAAAATTAACCTTAACCCTATTACTGCCAACCTTATACCTAACCCCTCATAAAATGAGGACTGGTTGTGGTATTTGAATGGCATTAGCAGATACTGTATATACATCATCTCTCACCAGGAATGGAGGTGCCCAGAGCCACAAACACCACGGCAGTGACAGTGTCCCTGAGGCCCACGGTGCAGCCGAAGTGGGAGGCCAGGTCCCCGATGATGGCAGTCAGGATACCGATGACCGAGATGGACACGAAGAAGCAGGCCCAGCCATTCCAGTACTCGGTGGGCGGCACAAAGGCAAACAGAACCTTCCAGAACACCGTCAGGAAGTGCATGACGTAGTCGTAGCAGGATGGCAGACGCTCCTCACGCCCCTCCTCGTCATCGTCATCACCATCCCCTGGGAGGTGAATACAGTAAAACATAAGAAACTCATGCACAAACACACACCAGTGGTGGTCGGTGCCGTTTAAGATGAGGGAGGACAATACTTTCTTTAATGAGCATGGCCTTATTTCTATTACAGCATATTGGATGACTGTCATTCATATTCCATTCACCCAGCTCAATGTAACATCGATAGGTTTAGGCTACTACATGATACTTAAATTTTCCCTATACCCATCATGAGGTTGCTACAACCTAGCCTATGAATTAAAGTTTACAACGTAGGTGCACAGTTCGAGAGAAAAATTGGATTAATCAAAGTGACAGACAGTGACACATTCAATACCGCCTTGCACACTCTTGCCTGCATCTAGCTGATCTAGGGTGTAATCATTAGTCCAACAGTTGCAAACGACAGCTGTCTGTGACCAGGCAACAAAAAACTTTCCAAGCCAAACCGTCATATCATAACCCCTAACTGTGCATTGTTGGACTACGGTGAGACATGTTTGTCTGTAATGAATATAACTGTCCACCAGGGAGAGCTTTTACACCTGACACAGACAGAGTCAGACATCTCTCCCATTACCTCAACACTGTGGAAGACAGCTTTGCTTTCTAAAGTAATTATTACATTTTATAATAGATCTTACCAACATAAATATCACAGAAACATTTTTATATGAAGTCTGAGGGTTTGCAATTAGCACCTTTCAAACAAGTTATTTCCTGTTATAATGAGGTTCCGAAATTAAGGGACTGTCTCCTCACTTGTTTCCCCTTGATATTTCAAACTTAACGAGCAAGCTAACACTCACTTCCTAAATGAAACACTTGGGCCGTTCTTTGGAATAACAATAAAGGACTCAAAATATTTTATGTAATTATGGCTCTGGACAAAAAGCCCTCAGACCACTATTCAAAGCATGATGGAGTAATTACATTCATAAAGCAACTGTAAAGTCCTTCATTATGGCTCTAGTCAGTGTATGTGTATAATACAATGTAAACAGTGAGCCTCACCTTATTGCATCTTTCTCTCACTCAATAGAAATCACACACACGCACACAAACACACCACACACACACACACACAGACACACACACACAAATACACACATGCACAAATACCAAAAGCTGACCTGCGCTGACAGTCACAGCTTCCACAAACTGCTCTCTCCAGGAGTGAGTGCCAATCACAAGGGCCAAGTTGGTCTTCTTAATGAGCTTGTCAACGGTGCTCTGCCAATCACAAACAAAGAGGGCATAGTCAACGTCCAATTATAGAGAAGAAGGCAAACTCATTTGTGTGACCGGAACTCTAACTCTAAAAAGAATGCCTAGAAGAATTAGACAGTGGCATCATTACCATGAGAAGTGCAGTAATATTTGATATTTGGTATTTTATTAGGATCCCCATTACCTGTTGGGGTCCATTTCTGGGGTAATATGAATTCACAATAGCAGTATTTGGTTTCACCACAACCACTCACACACACACACACACGTGCTCGCGCAAACACGCACACACACACACACACACACACACACACACACACACACACACACACACACACACACACACACACACACACACACACACACACACACACACACACACACACACACACACACAGTGGCACATCTGTTTATAAGGACACTCCTCCCAAGCAAGCACAGCAAACCACATGCTGAGTCCTGGGATCCACTCAGACAGTAAAGGAAAGCATCATATCCAGCACTCAAGTACGACTTCACCAAACTGTAACTTCCTCCTACTCAATCAAACCAATAAAACCATTCTATGAAGCACCCTAGCCAAACCCAACTGGATAGGAGGTTTCATTATTATTGGATAGAAAGGTCTCACCGCTGTGGGCAAGACTGGAGACTATAGGCAATGGACATCAGCCTTTAGAAAACTGGGACATACTGTTCTATTCAATGATGAGTATGGTTACAAGCACACAATAATACGATTATTGTGGATAGTCAGACTAATATAATAGTTTGTTTAAAACGTTTACATGCTTTGCAAGAAGAATGATTTTCTGAATAATCCTGTTTACATGGACACATCTGAAATCAGGCTACCTGACATTTTCCAATTAAAATAAACGTTCTACCACAGAAGCCAGGTTATTTTTGGGAAGCCTATTTGATTCTGAGTTCGGACATATAAAGTTTGTATGTGAAAACTATTTCTAAGATGCATACTTTCAGTTTTTCCGAACTCACTTCACTTGCGCATAAAAGGGAGGCTTGCGCTACCAGTGCTGGCACATGCGTAGATCAAATGCCCCGCTCGAACAATGATTAAGCTTGCATGTCCTAAAAGATTGCTCAGAAAAACAGGTGTTTTAATCGGCGTATGTTGACTTCGATTAAACCTTATGCCGATTAAGATAAGCAGAGTAAAGTGTTTACATGACTATTGCCATTGTCGGCCTACTGCCATAATCAGTTTAATATCGAATTATTAGTGTGCATATAAACCAGTGGATGCTGGTGGGAGGAGCTATAGGAGGACGGGCTCATTGTAATGGCTGGAATGGAATCAATGGAACACAATCAAACGTGGTTTCCATATGTTTGATCTGTATGATATAATTATATTCCATTCCAGCCATTACAATGAGCCCGTTCTCCTATAGCTCCTCCAACCAGCCTCCACAGATGTAAACATACTCTATGACTGCCATGATATAGGAGCTGCCCGGGCATACAGTATGTGATGCTCAGCTGTAGTAGTGTTTACTTCTTGTTTTCTAAATGTGGAAACTTCATCACCTGTGTAAACATTTCTCACTGGTCTTTCTTTGTGTTTTTTTGCGTATACCGTCCACCCATCCATAGAGCTAACAATGCTATTCAATTATGTGACATTGATCTAGGATTTCATAAAGCCAAGTGCCAGTCATTGAAATTACTTGAGAGTTCAATTACCTGTTGTGTTTGTTTTGTGCTACTACAAATCAAGAATGACAAGCGCAATCTTATTATAAATAATAAATTAATCCAATCAGGCCGTGTGCCTGAATCAAGTCAAGAAGAGGCACACGGCCTGATTGGATTAAATCCCTAGGCATGTTGATATAGGACTTCAATGAGCTAGCTGTCGTCCGTCACAACCGTTGGTTCACTTGATGAAAAGATTGATTAATCAATTAGCTTAAACACCAACCCTTCTGAGGACAGACACTGAGCACAGTGGAGGGTCGTTCCACTTCAAAAAATCCAATGCAAGTCGATGGTACCTATTTTAGCATTTTCATGCTTCATGCCCAAATCATCCTAAAGTATCTAAAAATTGATTGTGTTACTCAATGATGTTACTTATAGATTATCTGGATATGAAGCATGAAAATGCTAATATAGCTACGATTGACAGGAATTTGATTTTTTGAAGTGGAACCCTCAACTGTGCTCAGTGTCTGTCCTCAGAAGGTTTGGTGTTAAACCACTATGTGGCTCTGGGGCTGTATGTGATCTTCGATCAGTTTTGCCTAGTAGATAACAATGAATAAGATGATATGGACATGATGGAACTGACCTAGATCAGCATGCCTACTCTGAGATGCTTGATACATATACTGAGCGCTGATGTGGCCAATAGAGTGAAGCAGGGGAGAAGAGGGGCTATATACCTTGAACTCATAAGACTCCTCAATGACCACCTCCAGCCGGCTGTGCTCCCCCAAGACGGGCTTTCCCATCTCTGCAATGCGCCTCGCCTCCTCCTCCTCTGCACTCATCTGGCCATCAGGATCCTCTAAGAGAGAGAAGGAGAGAGGAGGGATGAGATAGTAAGAACAGTGAAGGGGGTGAGAGAGGAGAGAGAGAGGGGGGGGGGGGGGGGGGGGGGGGGTGAGGGAAGAGATAGAGAGAGAAATTGTAACTCAAACATGCCAACATGCCTCACAAGTAGATCTTTCAAGGCCAGAGTACTATCAATAATTGAGTTTGAGGCAGCATTATTTCTTCTTCATACAGTATATCACTCATGTGCATTAGCCCATGTATGTGGAGACGTGTGTGAGTGGGTGTGGGAGACAGTCAGAAAGAAGGAGAGATGAGGTTGGTGGTGAATGTGTGGGTGTGATGGGGAAGCAAGAGGGAAAAAGAGAAGCGATAAGGAGAGATTAGTGGGGAAGATCCATGAGAAGATGAGAGTAGGACAGACTGGGAGACGTAGCAGCAAAAAGATAGCCAGACATTTTGTTAGAGAAAGAAATGGAGAAAGAAACAGACAGAAGGAGAATGGAAATGAGGGTAGATTTATGCTGACTTGAGGTGGGCCGAGACCAATAGTCCCAATTGTGGGATTTAGTGGCTGATAATCAAACATTAAGCTGGACCAATAGGGCCATCAGAAAGCCCCATCTACAATAACACCTCAAACAAACTATAAACAGCTTGGTTAAACCCTTTCTCCCTGCTTCCATTCAGCATCATATTCCCTGTCTACTTATAGCGTATAATTACTCATCCTCTCATTGGAGGGACGACAAAGACGGTGAGCCGCGAAGACGCACAGGAAGCTTAGCTTGTGTGTGGTCGTCGCCGCATGGTGAGTGGGCAGATATTATTCCTATTTTAGTTCCTCTCTTCTGCCTTCAAAGCACAAGCTGTAATTATGAAAGGAGTAGAGCCCTGCCAGGAACCACATGTCAACTGTCCCACTGTATTCCTCCAACGCTCCAGCTCCTTCACCGTGTTGCTCTAACAGGGTTACACCAGATACTAAATACTAATACTAAGTACTAATACACTCTAACGATGATGAATTATACTGCTGGTCTGCGGTTACTGTGGGTACATTACTGCATCATCATCTCAGGGCCCATATTCACAAAGCATCGCAGAGTAGGAATGATGATCTAGGATCAGATCCTCCCATCTCTTGTCCATCTCTTATTCATTATGATCTAAAAGGCTAAACTGATTATAGATCAGCACAGCTACTCTGAGACGCTTGATGAATATGGGCCCTGATTGGGTAAGGCTCTTCAATACCTCTTTAAGATGTGCATTAGAGTAAAGTGTGGCATGTTACTGTTAGACTACTGTAGAAGGACAGTACTCTAATATTTATCCAAGAGAGGCCCAGTTGTGTGAGATACACGTATATAATATTTATCCAGGGATGGATACAAATTCGATGTGAAAGTGATGCATTTTATGGAGCGAGCAGGTCCTTATCATGGATTTATGCTGTAAATAGACTTCCATCAATAAATTATGCCACAATGGCCAAGGCCACACTAGGTGCTAATCCCTAAGTGGCTAACCGTACCAGAGGTGTGAAGAAAATAAAGGTTCTTAAATTGTTCTTCCTCAGTTCTTAAGGTTCCTTGGAGAACTCTTGACCGATAAAGAACCTTTGAGTTAAGTGTGGGGTTCTTGACGTGGCATCTACGGTTCTTCAGAATTCTAAAAGGTTCTAAAAAAGATATGTCCCTTTCATAGCACACAGCAAATTGGCCAGTGTTAACTAGTGTTGATTAAAGAGTTAAATTAACAATGTCAAGAGTTAAATTAACACTCAGTGGTGTAAAATAACCCCAGTGTTGGTGTTAATAACCAGAGTTGAACCAAAACCACACCCTTTATTATCATATTTCCCAGCATGCTCTATTGCAGGTTGATTTTTAGAATTGTTTGTTTCAATATCTATGTTTTTGCATGTACATTGATTGATTCATTAAAAGGTAGACTCAGCGATATGACGTAGATGCAGAAAGTAAACAGCATAGTGGGTCAATTTCCGCAACAACTAAGAGCGTGAAGCGCGAGGCTCAATATATCTGCTGTTTTGGTCGTAAGAGCGTGAAGCGAAGATACTGTGTGTGACTGTGTGAGAGCGAAGTATTGCATCTCGCTCATCTCAATATCTGCTGTGCTGCTTGTGGCAACGTCGTTGTGGCAACTACCTTTAATCTTATGCTACTCAAATATAAATAACATACATTTTTCTAAACTATTCCAATCTGTTACTTGGACTTATTGCACCTGATACTGAAATGGTTGTTCCAGTTTAGATGTTTAAAGTAGTCTCATATCTTAGTTTTCCCAACCCTGGCAGTCATTCTGAATGCAGGTCGTGGGTGAATAAAATTCAAAATGTTGGATATCCCCACTCTGGCTGGATTCCAATTGGAATTACACATCACTTTGCAAGCCAGCATAATGTGACATCAGGCAGGATTTGGGTTAAACTAGGACCTCAGAAGAAGGCTTTAGAAATAAATAAATTTGATTGATTGTCTTGTCTTAAATAATTTAATTTGAATGACAACGTATTCACTTAGGATCTCACTTGGTGAAGGCCACAGGACTGAAAATGAAAGAATTCAACAACCATGTCTCTGTCACTAGCAAACACAGTCATGGGTGGTACTGGTAACTTTAACATTCACTTGAAAGGCACTCTGGGAAATATGCAAATAAGGCTTAAAACTCTACAGCAGGGCTTTTCAATTCCGGTTCTGGAGGGCCAAAACATTTCTGGTTTTGGATTTTTGTATGGTTCTTCAAAGAGCCATCCCATTTATGGTTCTTCATAGACCCTTAAATGTATGTTGTTATATAGTGTACCAACTCATGTGAAATGTTTGTTGTTGTTTTTATGGATGATTCTAATCCAAAACCAATTCCCCCCTTGGGCCTTTAGGGATAATAAAATGTTCTATGTCTGCTGTTTCTAGGCTGGTTATGTGAGGCAAGTTGTTGATGGTCTTACCTTGGTTGAGCAGAAGGGCTAGAAGAAAGAAGGATGAGCAGAACAGTCAGTACAGCAGTCCAAACTCCAGACAAGTCAAAGTGCAGTATGACATGTTATCACACCATTCCCTGGCCATGTCATTGTGAACTCTCCTCTAAGTGCCTCAGTTCAGTAAAAACATATTGTTTTCTTGAAACCTTCTCTCGCTCTCTCTCTCTCGCTCTCTCTCTCACGAATGAACACACACACACGAACAAACACACACGAACGAAACACACACGAACGAAACACTAGGCCTATTTCCTCTCTATTTTCTTAGCCTCACACACAATTGGACATCAGCACGCTCTGCTTGGCTCTGTGACTCTGAAAGTTCTCTACTTGTATCTTCATTTCACCAGCAGAATTGAAAATCCATTCTTTACCAAACAAAGCTACCTGTAGTGCCTGCCTGGTACTAGCTATAAGGCCCAACTCAGTCAGTGCCTGAAGTGGAATTAAACTTTAATTGTACCGTACCTGGGTTTATATTTTAGAGCCAGTATTCCAGGGTTCTTCAATTCCGGTCCTGGAGGGCCGAAACACTTCTGTTTTTTATTTCTACCTGGTAGTTAATTGCACTCACCTGGTGTCCCAGGTCTGAATTAGCCCCTGATTAGAAGGAGAGGATGAAAAACAGAGGTGTTTCGGCCCCCCTGGACCAGAATTGAAGAACCCTGCAGTATTCTATGAGGTGCCACAACTCATTAGAGGTACAGTTCTCCAGTCAGCACCAACCCAATCCCAACCACTGACAACAAGTGTGATAACAGCTGATTCTCTCTCTCTCTCTCTCTCTCTCTCTCTCTCTCTCTCTCTCTCTCTCTCAAACAGTGGCAGAAAGCGAGAGAGAGAGAGAGCGAGAAAGAGAAAGAGAGAAAGGTTGTATCAGCTATTATCACACCTGTTGTATTACTGGAGAGAGAGGGCTAGGTCAACCTGGCTGGCTTGGTTCACTGAGGTTCAGCTGATATTGGGAAACTGGAAAGGAGAAAAGGACACATACACACACATGCATGCACACACACAAACACGCAAATGCACACACACACTACAAGTACACACACCTGAGATTCCCCTCTTCAGCCAGCGTGGTTCCTCTAGTACGATGAAGAAGTTCTCCTTTTTCTCATACTCCTCATCGTCAATGATCCTCACCTGCAGGGTCTGACTGCACACACACACACACACACACACACACACAGGTCAGTACCACAGGTCAATAATCAACAAATGGATTAGACTGTCTTCTTTAACTTTATTCAACAGTTAAAGGGATCAGTGGAAGGATGTAGTCCCAGGGGTTAGTCAGGGATTTTGTTTTACTTTACAGAGAGAGAGAGCACACACACACACACACACTCTTATCCTCAAGGCTTTCTTTCCACCACGGGTCACTCCCAGTTATCGATGAGATAACCATACGTCAGGTACAGCCATCGAGCAACAGGCAGGGAGGGGAGCCGCACAAAGCCAGACAAACGATGGCTTCCTCCCCGGTGCCGCCCCAGACATATTAACAGGCACAGCTTGCACTTAAATCACTTCAGAGGGCTCGCGTCAATATTTCATCACTCCACGGCTGAATAATTCAGATGCAGACATGCATACCAGCCAGTGAGGGGACGCCAAGGGGTCTGCAACACAGAGGGGCGTCACCCCTGCTGTATATCATACCCTATTAATGTGACCCAATCCTCAACCACTGCTCCATCCCCCATCCTAGCTCTGTCCATCCTGTGATTCAACCTACTGTAGGTCCTTTACTGTACCCACTACTGTACAACCGTAGCCTCAGCCTCTCTTGGTGCTCTAACCCATAGGGTCCTCTTCATCCCCCTACAGAATAGTGCAGGGCTAGCGGTCAGCTTTTACACAGACTGATGCGGAGTGGCTGATGAAAAGAGGAAATAGGCGGGGGTGAAGGGGAGGAGGAGAGGAGGGGGAGTTGGAAGACGTGTTTCACTTTGGTATTATGCACATTAGTCCTGATAATGTCTCCCAGGACATTGTCCCTGGAAATGTCACCACAGCAACAGTCTCACTGTTGGCAGAGCAAACATAAACAAGTGAGAGAAACAAAGAAACAAAGAAAGAGGGAGAAGAGAGAGATACAGATATTGGATCTTAATTTGAGCCAGTTTGCTACAGCAGGAAAACAATCCTGCAGCAACAGGAAATGTGTATTAATATGGTAGTTATAATTAATGGACATTTTTGTAGGGGTTGATAAATATTTTTTGAAGAAGAATCTAGTCTGAAATTTCTAAGTGAAAATTACAAACTTCAGAAGCCTTGTTAAACCTCAAATACACTACACGTTTTTAATTTACTGCATTGCAGGAAGGTTCTCCTGCAACAGGGTGATCAAATTAAGATCCTACATCTGTAGATACAGGAAGAGAGAGAGACAAACACAAACAGACCCCACAGAGCCCCAGGACAGCAACACAATTAGACCCAACCAAATAATGAGAAAACAAAAAGATAATTACTTGACACATTGGAAAGAATTAACAAAAAAACAGAGCAAATTAGAATGCTATTTGGCACTAAACAGAGAGTACACAGTGGTAGAATACATGACCACTGTGACAGACCCAAAATGAAGGAAACTTTGTACAGACTCAGTGAGCATAGCCTTGCTTTTGAGAAAGGTTGCCGTAGGCAGACCTGACTCTCAAGAAAAGACAGGCTATGTGCACACTGCCCACAAAATTAGGTGGAAACTTATCTGCACTTCCTAACCTCCTGCCAAATGTATGACCATATTAGAGACACATATTTCCCTCAGATTACACAGATAAAATCCAATTTTGATAAACTCCCATATCTATTGGGTGAAATACCACAGTGTGCAATCACAGCAGCAAGATTTGTGACCTGTTGCCACAAGAAAAGGGCAACCAGTGAAGAACAAACACCATTGTAAATACAACCCATATATATATATTTATTTATTTTCCCATTTGCACATCGTTACAACACTGTATATAGACATAATGACATTTGAAATGTCTCTATTATTTTGGAACTTGTGTGAGTGTAATATTTATTTTACACTTTTTATTGTTCATTTCATATTTGTTTATCCATTTCACTTGCTTTGGTAATGTAAACAAATGTTTCCCATGCCAATAAAGTCCCTTGAATTGAATTGAGAGATAGAGAGAGAGAGAGAGAGAGTGTGAAAGGAGAGAGAAAGAGAAGAGTGAGAGAAAGAAAAGAGAGAAAGGCACAATAGAGAAAGAGGAAGAAGGGAAAGATAGATACAGCGAGATGAGAGTGAAATTAGAGATGAATGAGAAATAAACAAGATGTTCAAATTACTATTACTGTGCAGATTTGTGGCGAGAGAGAAAGAGAACCAGAAAGAGATAAGACTGAGACATGAATACAGATAGCGTGACAATATAGTATGGTGTAGCCTACTTTAAGCCAGCAACACATAGCAGTGTGAATTGTAGTATTGGTTAGGAGTTGAGCACAAACACATAAGCCATTGATGAGCTAAAACTCACTCCAGGTTGGCCTTGATGAATAATGGAGAACAGTGTCTGGGGAGAGGGAGGGGAAGGGACAGGGAGGGAGAGGGAATGAAGGAGTAGGGGAGAGGGAGGGAGAGGAAATGAAGGAGTAGGGGAGAGGGAGGGGAAGGGAGAGGGAATGAAGGAGTAGGGGAGAGGGAGGGGAAGGGAGAGGGAATGAAGGAGTAGGAAAAGATGGAGGGGAGGAGAGGGGAATGGGAAAAGAGAAAGATAGATGAAAAAGGAGAGTGGATGAAATGGAAGCAATCAATAAACAAATAGAGTAGATGTGTAGAAGTAGGGTAGATGTGTAGAAGTAGGGTAGATGTGTAGAAGTAGGTAGATGTGTAGAAGTAGGGTAGATGTGTAGATGTAGGGTAGATGTGTAGATGTAGGGTAGATGTGTAGATGTAGGGTAGATGTGTAGAAGTAGGGTAGATGTGTAGAAGTAGGGTAGATGTGTAGATGTAGGGTAGATGTGTAGATGTAGGGTAGATGTGTAGATGTAGGGTAGATGTGTAGAAGTAGGGTAGATGTGTAGAAGAGGGTAGAGTAGATGGTTAGATGTGTAGATGTAGGGTAGATGTGTAGAAGTAGGGTAGAGTGTGGTAGAAGTAGGGTAGATGTGTAAGAAGTAGGGTAGATGTGTAGAAGTAGGGTAGATGTGTGTAGATGTAGGGTAGATGTGTAGAAGTAGGGTAGATGTGTAGAAAGTAGGGTCGATGTGTAGTTTTGTAGGGTGATGTTAGATGTAGGGTAGATGTGTAGAAGTAGGGTAGATGGTGATGTAGGGTTAGATGTGTAGATGTAGGGTAGATGTGTAGAATGGGGGGTAGATGTGTAAAAGTGGGTAGGGAGTTAGGGTGAGTGTAGAAGTGGGTAGATGTGTAGAAGAGGGAGAGTGTAGTTTGGGGAATGGTAGTGTGGGTAGTGTGTAGAAGTTAGGGTAGATTTTAGTGTAGGGTTTGATGTGTAGAAGTAGGGTGTGTGTAGAAGAGGGTAGATGTGTGGAGTGTGGGGTGATGTGTAGAAGTGGGTAGATTTTTGTAGAAGTGGGGTTGGGGTTGTCTGTTTTATAGTTTTCTGTCGTTCTCCGTCCGTTCATCATACTCACGTTTTTGGTCGTTGGGAACCCAGTTTCCCCGGGGTTTCCTCGTAGTCCACCCCCCCCCTTTCGCGTGCCGCCTCCTTTGTGATGGGGCGGGTCCCCTTTTCCCGCGGGCGCCCCGAGTTCCGCACCACTGTGAACTCCACGGTGCCAACGCTCTCACTGATGCGCACCAGCCGATCACGGAATGTGAAGATGCCAGCATGGTCGTCATCCAGGATGGTCACCATGGTGACCAGTGGCTCCACCAGGCGGCCCTTGGGTCCCGCACCTGGCTCATCACTCTCGAACATCCCCTCGGGGTCACCGATGCGCAAGTTGAGCAGCCGCACGAAAAAGTGCTCGTCCTCCTCGAAGATGTCATCATCGATGATGCCGACCTGGGAAAGGTGGAGGATGGAGGAAGGAGGGGTGGAGGAGGGGTGATATAGTGATGAAGATAGAAAGTGAGAGCTGTTATAGATCATAAACGCTTGAGAGACACGCATCAAATCAACCACACTGATGGTCATTGACATGAGAAACTAAGGGATTGATTGTTGTAGTCAGTCATTCATGACTAATGGTTGACTAGCTACTGTTATGAAATAACACAATTGAGTTGTTTCCTAACTCTCTCTCTTTCTCTCTCTATCTCTCTTCACATTCCTTGTTTTCTCCCTTTCCTCAACACCCCTCCTGCTATCCAGAAATACACATTCTCTTTGTCCTCTGTCTAAGTGTGAACATGAAATGACACAAAAACTATGACGAGTTCAAAGAGGGAAACAACATCTCCAAGGACAAAATACTTCAAAGCCCACTTCCTCCTTTTTTCACCGTCTCTCCCCTCTCCCACTCAGATGAAGTCATATTCACTGTCATTCAGGACGATGAGGCAGACTTTAATGTGCTCTAGCTTCTGGAAGACTCTCCAGCTCTACTGGCTCCTCTAAGACAATATGAGACAGTTGATCAGGGACAGAGAGGACTCTGGCAGGCGCTAATTCAGAGGGTAATCGGTTTCTACTGCTGTTTCTGCTCCTTCTATTATGTGACGTCCTGATCTGCCCACGACAAGCAGGTCTAACGACCTAGCTGGGGATCTGCTAGGCAGCACAGTTGTGCAACGCTTCTTGCTAAAATTGATTGGAACTGTATGTTACTGTTCCCTTTCCTCCCCTTCCACTGACCCCTCACCTTGATCTCCTTGCGGGTCTCTCCGGGTTTAAACACCAGCGTTCCCTCGCTGTACTCGTAGTCGGACCCGGCGTTGGCCGAGCCGTCTTCGGTCCGGTAGTCCACATAGAAGGTGCTCTCCCCCATGCCCCCCTTGACACACCAACAGCCAGCTCAGTATGCCCACAGTTTCTCCATGGCACTGGCATGTGGGTGCTCTCGAACGCCAGGCGGCTGCCACTCGGGCCCAGGGTCCATCGTACTCGCAGACCCGCTTTCCAAGGGGGAAAAACGGCGGGGGTTTTTTTTGGGGGGTTTTTTGGGCCCCCTATTTCTTGGGGGACCCACGTTGCCGGGCCGGGTCCCTATGCGCTACCTATGCCGGGTTAGAACCCTCTTCTGCTGTGAGGAGGGGATTTTTTTAATTGTGTTTTCTCCCAGTTTTTCCACCCCTTGCCGGAAAATTCTGTTTAAAGCTTTGGGCTCCCGGGGCAGAGGCCGGGGAAAAAAGGGGCCAGCCGGGCCCCACCCACACCCAAAAACAACCTCCCCCTGCCAGGGGAAAAAGTGCGTTTGTTTTTGGGGTGGTGGGGGGGGGGGAGAGGGGGGAAAAGGGTTTGGGAGGGGGGGGGGGGAAAGGGGGGGGGGGGAGGGGAAGGGAGGGGGGGGGAAAAGGGGGGGGGGGCCGGGATGTAAAGAAAAGGCAAAAAGGGAAAAACGGAGGGTAAGGCGAAAAAAGGAAAGGGGGTTTTGGGAAAAGGGGAAGGGGAACGGGGGGAATGGGGGGTAAAACCGGAAGGGGAAAGGACGTAAAGAGAGGGGAGGGAGCAGGGGGGGGAAGGAAGAAGAAAAGAAGGAGGGCGGAGAGGAGAAGAGAGAAGAGAGAGGGCGAGAGGGGGAGAGGGGAAAAAAGAGAGGGGAGAGGAGAAGAGCGAAGGAGAGGGGAGCGGAAGGGAAGCTAGGGAGAGGAGAAGGGAAAAATTTTCTTTTTTATTTCTTTTTCCTTTCTTGATTTACCTCTCTTCTCTTCTCTCTCTCCTCTCTCTCTCTCTCCTCTCTCTCTCTCTCTCTCTCTCTCTCTCTCTCTCTCACCTCCTTGCGGCTCTCGTCCATGCTCCTTGGTATTTTCTACAGTCACCATGGTGCTGTTGGAGTTGGGCAGGTAGGCCACGGCGCCCGCTGCATTGTTGGCACCATCCTGGCAGTTCTCATTGGGCAACATTCCCACCGCCCCTCCCCTAGGAGGGAACTTTCCGTCCATAATCATCTCAAAGCCTTTCGGGGTTGTGTCCCCCTCCGTCTCCACGACGATGCCGTGCTTGTCGGCACGGTAACGCTTGGCCATGTACTTGTAGAAGAGCAGGCGGCGGTCGGCGATCCAGGCCAGGATCACACACACTGGGAAGTAGAGCAGGGTGACCAGGGCCTCCCACACCTGAACACACACACACACACACACACACACACACACACACACAAAGAGAGGGTACCATTACAAGACATACATCCAAACTGGAAGGGTGTTGATTGTTTGGTTACGCACACATACAGTATTTATACACATTTGCTAACATTTACACACACACACACACACACACATATATACACACACACACACTCACACACACACAAAAGTGTACCTCCACTACTCCGGGTGAGATGACAGAGAGGATGAGGAAGAGCCAGATATAGGCGAAGATACTCCAGAAGGCTGTGATGAAGAACACACGCAGGTGTTTGATCTTCCTGGTCTCTCCTTCAGGGATGACCCACACACAGATGGCGATGATCACAAACATGTTGAAGGCAGCGCTGCCCACGATGGTGCCAGGGCCCAGCTCACCCGCCTCAAACCCATGCCCACACACCTAACACCGGGAGACAGAGGAGAGAAAGACCTTTAGAGAACCTTTAGTGCAGTATAAATCAAAAAGGCCATGTACAAGTTGTATGTAAATGTTATATTAGTAAGACTTGACAATACCTTTAAAGTCATTTTCAGCTTCATTCCACTACTACTAGCTAGTATACACTGCTACACTGATATGTTGTTGCTGGGGGGAGTGTTTATGATGTGACACCCACTTATGAGTTGTGGTCGGGGGAGTCTTTATGGCGTGACACCCACCTCTATGACAGACAGCAGGATCTCTGGTGCGGAGGAGCCTAGAGCCATCAGAGTCAGGTTGGACACAGTCTCGTTCCAGATACGTACAGTGGCCACAGACGTCTCACCGCTTGGCATGGTGATGGTCACCTCCTTCTCCTACAGGACAGACAGAGAGGGGTCACACACACACACACATGAATGGTTACATCCACACACGCACACACACATGCATATGCATGCACACACACAGACACACGCGAATGATATTGACAGTATCCTACCATCAGGGAGGATGCGTCCCTAACTCCCTGGCAGAAGGAAAGGGGGACAATCTGTTATTCTAATCTAGTGAATGGAGGAGTGATGGATGGCGGGCTATGGAGACTCAAGTTTCAAGTTTTATTAGTCGTATGTACGGGATACACATGGTATACACCGTCCTACGAAATGCTGACTTGCAGGTTCCTTTACATTTACAGTGATCTTGAGATGTAGGGTTGGTTCATTTTACTGAAGTGGGCTAAATCAGGGTCACACAGAGTGATTCTTGGTAGTCTTAAACAGATCTCCATTGAAACAAAAGTATACACCTCACACACATGGTTATGGGCTTAAAGAAAAAGAAGACACCTGTACCATATCAGATATTGCATCCCAATATTACACTTTATATCCATTACAGAAGACTGAAATATAACAAAACCCTTTGACATAGAAACACAAGATTTTCGGCATAAAAAATAATAATAATGTTGATTAATTATGAAATTATGATAAATATTAATAACATTCCACCCATGAGGCCACTAGCTCATTTAACTGCAGGAAAGGGCTACCCCATCCCTCCATCCCCATCTCCCCCCTCGTGGAGAGCCAGGCCTGTGCTCCTTGCCGCCAGCATACGATCCAGACAGTCTTCTAGTGTGCTTACGCTTGCATAACCTCAGGACATGCAATGGAAAAGCCCCCCCCCCCCTGTTACAATACAATCCACTACAATCCACTCCAATTAGGCCACTGGGGTGGTCTGAATCCTTCATAATGGATGCACTTCTGGTAATTACTCTCCTAGTAGATGCTTGCATTATGAACTTATGAAAACAGTTGTGTGCAATTTGCTCGGTCAGAGAGAAAATTGAAAAAGGGAGAAATCTATGCTATTATGAACAAAGATGTTGAACACATGGTTGGCTATAAAGAGGACAATATTACAAACAGATAACTAGTACATTCACAATGGTATTCGATGGCCCAACAATGAACTGAAATGGATGAATAACTTATGAAAAAATCATTAACAGCCCGGTTAATTGATTATTGAATCGATTCCAAGGCTAGAATCTATTTCAGTCTGTTGAGAAGACTATCTATTGTCAGCAGAGAAATCCAATTCATAACAATGTCAAAGAGTCTGGACCAATTATCTAAAGTTTTAAATCAGATGGAAACAATAATTCAATACACTAAGTCTCATATTATTTTCCAATCGTTTCGTTCTGAACAGAACCACTTTTGTCTTCGTCCCGTTCTACTGTTCCGACCGGTTCGCACTTTAAAAAGTACCTGTTTATATTGTTAATTTCTGTTCCTTTTTTAACTAGCATTGAAAATCCATTCTTCTCTAATAAAACATCCCTCTTCCTCTCTTCTTTTTTTTGTAAGATTTTATATAAAAATAAAAAATAAATACAAAATATACACATACAAACGACATCACAAAAACATCAACTACATCACACCTGCCCAGACCCACATGCTCACACCATCTCCAGGGCCCACATCACTCACCGCCACATGGCCTCAAACTGCACCATTTAGTTTCTCTCCATCACCCACGCGCTCTCTCCCTATCTTCTGAATCACGCTCGTAACGTCAGTAGGCTATGGTAGCCTATGCTTCAGATAGGGAGGGGCCGGTAGCCTACACACACTGGCAAAGATCTTCAGCTTGCAGGCAGACACTGGAAGGAGTCAGTGACAGAGGGCTTTGCATAGGCGCTTTGTTGCGTTTTTTGTGGGACTAGAAAAACATGGCCGGAAAATGCTATTAACCGGTTCCCATGATTTTAAAATAATGGTTCTGTTCCGGAACAGTATCGATCACTTTAGTTCCCGGTTCTGTTTCTGTTCCTTGAAAAATGACGTTATTTTCCAGTTTTCTGTTCTGTTCCCTGAACCGGTTCCAATCGAAGGCTAGAATCTATTTCAGTTTGTTGAGTCAACACTATCTCTTGTCAGCAGAGAAATCCAATTCATAACAATGTCAGTCTGAGTTTTAAATCAGAACCAATAATTCAGTAAACTACGTTTGCATATCAGGATGTATATCAATGAACATACTGTAAATACTGGAATTCCATATGGGCCCAAAGTCAGTCACTCCAAGAAATGTGAAAACCCAAACATAGAAATAACACCTTAATTTGAGCTGTTTGTGGTAACACCGAAAAGCAAGGCAGCATTTCTGGAGAAAGAAACTGTTATGTCTATCACCCCTGCAGAGGCGAGTTTTGCAATTACTTTATCATAGAGTGTTCTACTTGTTTCGATGTTCACCGTGTTTGAGTGACAGTTAATGTAGTCTTGGGAGAGGTGAGAGAGGAGAGCCAACCACTGGGTCTAAGAGTAGGAGAGCTATCTCTGTAAATATATAATATGTTCATTCTATGTCTGTCATTTTCATTATGTGCTGAATGAGATGAGATCCCCTAGTACAATGTTTTAACAACTCTACATAAACACAGTATATCATATTGGTCAATCTATCATACAGTACCAACCTGTGAGGTGATAACCTCGATAGAGGCCATGAAGCGGTCTGCGATGATGGACACTCCCAGGAACATGTACATAAGGCAGGTGAAGTAGACCACGGCCCTGGCCACCTGGTCGCCCAGCCCGGGGCCCAGGGGCTTCCACACGGGCAGCAGGGTGCCCGGCTTGCACACCACCGGCTGCGAGCACTTTGAACTGCTGCCCAGTCCCGTGCTGCTGTTGCTCCAGAACTCCGGAGACATGGAGGGATAGGACATGGTGGAGATGGAGCGGTTCCCTTCCTCTCCTCCTCCTCGTAGAGACTCCAGGGCGCAGGGCGAAGGAAGGGGGAGGAGGAGGAAAAGGAGGAAGGGGACGGAGGCAGAGAGAGAGGTGGAGAGGAGTGCCATGGCGGAGAATGCCGGGGGAAGAGAGGGATGAGGTGGACGAAGAGAGATATGGGGAGAAGATGCCGGGTGTGGCGGGGGGGGGGGGGGGGGGGGGGGTAGGACTAGCTCACCTAGGAGGAGAGAGAGATGGATAGAACAGTAGAGAGAAGAGAGATAAAATGTTGGGTGTAGCCAGCAGCAAACATATACCAGCCTTTCATGGACCTGTATGGAGTACGAGATAAATAAACCATCTCCCTCAAAATAATTTATTAAACTAAATAAAAATGTTCCACATTTGATAACTGAATCATGAGGTATTACTGCAGTTTACATATAATAAATCATTTTTAACCATCATCCTTGTTTCCAGTTGCTGTTGTTGTTGAAGGTTTCCAACTGCAATATGAGAACAAAAATGTCAACATGCATTTGAATAGTGAATGTTAACGCCATGCCCTTGAATCATGAATATAAACCTTTCACGGCTATTCAACTCGGAGGCGCCCACATTGGCATACGTGCTCTCTGCTTTCTATTGACAGGAGAGAGAAAGAGAGAGAGAGAGAGAGAGAGACAGAGCGAGAGAGAAAGAGAGAGAGCGACAGAGAGTGAGAGGAGGGGGCTGTCTGAATAGAACATATGGCTCCAGATAGGCTCATTAAAGCCCAAAGCGGAGGGATAATGTTGTCCTTGGAGAGAGAGAAGGCTGGCATTTGGATGGGAGAGATAGTTCATGGTGGTTTCTGTGATGACAGTGACAGCGCTGTTCCAACAGGCTTCGTGACAATGCACCAGGCTCTCCACAAAGACCTGTTCCCTCAGTCGAGAATACAATGACCCTGAGAGCCAGAACACTTAGCAGCAAGACACTCAGAAACTCTCTCTCTCTCTCTCTCTCTCTCTCTCTCTCTCTCTCGCTCTCTCTCTCTCTCTCTCTCTCGCTCTCTCTCGCTCTCACTGTAAAAGTGGGTCAGGGTCCATGGCTGACTGGCAGTGTGTTTTTGTAGCAGTATGTACAGTATTGTTTGCTTGTTTGTTCTACTAGGCTAAGTCCCAAATGGCATCCTATTTCTTATATAGTGCACTACTTTTGATCAGGGCCCTTAGGGAATAGGGTGCCATTTCATTTGGGATGACGGAACAGATACATACAACTTTCGGCCTGTACACACACAGATGTCCAGTCTATGAGGGCTATGTGTGTGTATACAGTACCTGTCATTCAACCATTCTTTCACCAGGTGTCATTTACAGTACAATGTATCTGTATTGTATTCCTTCTCGCTGAGTGTGATTGTGGATACATACAGCGTGTGTAGTTTCTGGGTGCAGTGTGTGAGCACCATATGTAAGGGAGAATGTGTAGAGCAGAGAGCCAGTTTAGCAGATTACAGTCACACACACACACACACACACACACACACATACACTCTCTCTTTATCTCTATCTCTCTCACTGTATCTCTCTCTCTCTCGCTGTATCTCTCGCTGTATCTCTCTCTCTCTCTCTCTCTCTCTGTATATCTCTCTCTCTCCCTGTATCTCTATCTCTCTCTCTCGCTCTCTCTCTTTATCTCTCTATCTCTCTCTCTCGCTCTCTCTCTTTATCTCTCTATCACTCTCTATCTCTTTCTTTATCTTGAAAGCTTATCCATCCCAATACACTTGTCTATATACAGTATTACTTGACATGCACCAAGCAACAATGAGTAGGATTGAGTGTCCCTATGTCAAGAATATTATATTGAGAAGCTGCCCACAAAACCATCATGCATTTGCAATAGGAATACCTCAGGTTATACGGAATGCATTGTTGCTACTGCTGAGTTCCAGGTTAGACTCAGTCTGGGCTTCAATGTAATTGGTCTTAATGAACAATAATATAAGATATTTCCCATACGTGCGTGCATACACATACACACACACTTGAACACACACTCGCTCACTCACGTGCGCACACACACACACACACTCACACACACATTATTTTGTCCCAAACACACACACACCTCCAGTGTGCAGTCGTGTTCTGTCTCTCTGTCTCCTCAGGCTGACAGTCCAGTCTGACTGTGTGTTTGCTTAGAGGTGAATGTCTAATGATGGAGAGCTGATGTAGTCCAATTCCATACTGCACTCCACCAGACTGCACCTCCAGCACCACACTACCATACCTGAATACCAAGCAGGAGAATAGAGGGGGGCACTGGGGGTAGAAGGGGAGGATGGCTGCTTACACTGGGTCTGCGCTTGTTCAGAGAGCAGCACTCTCTGGGTGTGTCTCAAATGACACCCTATTTCATATAAAGTCCACTACTTTTGACCAAGGCCCATAGGGCTCTGATGAAAAGAAGTGCACTATATAGGGAATATGCTGCTATTTGGGATGCATTCTCTATTTCAGAGTAGAGTGTTTGTGTTGTGTTCCTCTGTGACCTGTTAATCAAAGCCACTCCGGGGCTGGGGGATGAGATGGAGGGATGCTGCAGGAAAAGAAAGAGGAAAAAGGAATCTGAAGAGATGTTTAAATGGGAGATGAGATGGAGAGGACAGTTGAGGGTGGGTGTGTCCATGAGAGTAGGGTTGCTGATACTAAGCATGATGGACAGGGAGAAGGGGGAAATGAATGTAGAAAGAGTGAAAAAGAAGGAGAGAGAGAGAAGAGAAGAGTGAGAGAGGACAAGAAAGAGGACGAGAGAGAGGAAGGGAGTGAGAAAACCATAGAGAGAGATGAGAGAGAGGGGATAGTCCTGCCATGATGAGTGCGTTAATAGATATTCTCAGCACGGCCAGAGTGTTTCCATGGCGACCTGGTGAACGTTTGGGAGGGTGATCTATAACAGATGGAACGGGAGAGAGAAGAAGAGAGGAAGGAGAGAGAGGGAAGAAGAGAGGAAGAAGAGAGGAAGAAGAGAGGAAGGAGAGAGAGAAGAAACAGAGAGCCTAGGAGGACTCTTCGTCACAAGCATACTGCCTTCCATGGACGTGCCCACTAGTGTCCTCTGGGGCTGGGTATTGTGGGGACGGGCTCTTCAAGCAGCCTAGTTGGCTAGGCTGGGGCTGGGGGCGGGACTGGGGGCGGGACTGGGGGCGGGACTCAGGCCTGGGGTATGTATAGCTGCCTCAGCAAAACTGCTGAACCGCACTCACATACCACAGCTGAATCACAATGACCACAGGCTGACCGTAGTCATACGAATGAATGCACACACACATGCACACGCACGAACGCACATGAACACACAATCATGCACGTATACGTACATGTACACGTACACACACACACACACACACACACACACACACACACACACACACACACACACACACTGTCAAGAAGAATCAGCTAGGGCCAATATTTCCTGTGACCTGTGACATTTATGTGACATGAAGCTCTTTGTGGTTACAGACGTGCAGGCAGCAACCTGCATACACACACACACACACACACACACACACACACACACACACACACACACACACACACACACATTGAACATTGGACATTGAGAATGAACACTGAATCCAGATGTAGCCAGGTGGTAAAAGCACATAGCTGTATTCATTTATATCCACTAGATGGCACTTTCCCTTCAAGAGATCCGTAAATAATGCAAGCGGTTATGAGATTGCGCCTGCGCAATGTGTAAGAGTGAGAGCAAGCAATTACACTGGAGAGCTGTTGTAATCCATCATGGGTCCAATGTTACATTAGGGTAAATACAACTTTTTATTTCACTCTTGTACCGGAATATATCAATTTTGCATAATCTGCAGCGTTTTGTAATATTTATGCCAGATGGTCATGTTAGCCTGTTGATACTTTCAGATTGACATGAGGATGTTAGCTTCTTGCTAGCTGAACACCAGTGCTCTCAGAACCACGTTGTGGAGTTGATAACATTATTTGAAGCGTGAGGAATTATCAGAATGACATTCTATTTTATATAAAGTTTCAGGGTGTTGTATTTTGTTTCATTTTTGAATTGTAACTTATCTGTTAATATGACATTTCCCCCTGTGCTGTATGGGTGAGATGAGGATCTACTGTTCCATGTGGGATTAGGGTTTCACATAGACAGTGTGTTTGTGCGTATTCATATTGTTTTGTGACAAAATGTATTTTTGTTTTTCATGCAAGATGTCATTTAACTTTGTACTTATTGTACTCAGATTGTTTTTATGCACTTTACTAACAGATTTATTTCACATGATTTAGACAGAACTTTACTTTACGGTGACTTCACCTTGCGGTGATTTCCCTTCTACATTATCCTATTTTAAATGGAAGCTTCGACAGAATAAACAACCCCAAATTAGTTTGTGTCCTGTGCTGGGTTTGCTTTCGCCAGGCTACACAGAGATGCACAAGAAGAAGTGAATCCAGACAGACTTGATTGAATTATGAATATGGGAAATGTATAATTGAAGAAATATGAATGATTAGGATAAGTCATTGATCTGGGGTGACCCTTAGCTAGTTCTAAACTGGGCTCTAGGAAAGGGAAGTCCATATTTGGGCATATAAACTGAACGAGGAACCACTCTGGTTATGCTTGCACGCAGCAGGCAGCAGCCTGAGATTGTGCACACCCTCGGACACACAGAGTTAGAGTACGTGCCCAGCCTTGGGTCAATGGTACCCGATTGTAGTCGGGTGATAGCTAGTGTCAACTAGGTAAAAAGGTCTATAAAGGAGTAAAATGACTATAGCATGTGAGTGGAAGGAGGGGGAGGATGTCCTGCAGTTAGATGGGATGCAGAGAAATTGATGTTATTGTAAGAATGTATAAGATTGCTTAATTTAAGGTTGGGTAAGAATATGCATGTTATGGAAGGAATGTATGAAACATATTAAACTATGGTGAAGCTGAACTAACTTGAACCAACTTGCCCCACCTAGCTATCTTAAGATGAATGCACTAACTGTAAGTCGCTCTGGATAAGAGCGTCTGCTAAATTATTAAAATGTAAAAATGTAAATGATGCTGTAAGGTATATAAGGAGCTTATTCATGCCTTG